CGATGACCGATTATAGTCTCATACTCATCGGCTGGTGCCGATTCCGATGCCGATTGCGACATGTAAAGAGCGAAGAATCGCGGTAGTGAAATATTTATTGAAACTGGCCTATAGGGAAGCCATTTCCGACCCTTTTTTGGATTGTCACGATGGCTGTTTTGAAAGCGTCAATGTATCGACATGAACCATCGATGGTGCATCGATGCATCACGATGGGAGGATTCAGTCATCTCTCGTCGCGATCGGCCGCAGTATTCATTCACTTCCGTCGTTTGCCTCGATTGGGGCAGCGAATCGCTTTCTGTCTTACATAATCTCCCGTCCGTGATCGGGATGAGATGTAGCCGTAGCGAAGGGTAACGAAATCAGCGATCTCACCAACTATCGACGCTGAAACTGTTTCTGCAACTTGATGGAGCCCCCGCTTACTACACCATCGACTATGACACGTCTAGCTAGAGGATTGGATGAGGCGAAGCCGGAAACAGAATTCTCGCCTTGAGAATATATGGTTCTTCCAGTTCCAGTTCTGCCAGTCAAGTGTTGCCCGGAGGCTCGAAGGGAAAAACTGCGGCCCCGATGAGCTTCGCTTGGGACGCATTACATACAGAGTGATCCAAAAGGCACTTTTGCTAGTTTTATTTCTATTTCTATGCACTTCTATCTTATATCTGATATCTTATTTCTGTTTATTTATTGCCGATAACTAAGGGATGACATAGCCAGAAAGTTGTCTAACCAGAACGGGTTTTCATATACCTAGGTTTTCATATCCATATACATATTTCAAAAACCATATTTTCATAAAATGTTTTAAAATGTTCTTTTCAGCACTACAAAGTGTAAAGTGACTTTTGGATCACCCTGTACATGTAACTGATCACTTCGAGAGCTTGTCCGGCTTCCACGCGAGATACGCATTTCTTTTTCCTTACCTCGCTGCTGCCTCCCCATTTCATCCCCATTGTTTTCATCTGTTCACGGGATCAGGAACGCAGTCTTCCAGGTAAGGCAGTTCCTTCCATGTGAGTGTGTGGAGAAGATCGATGGCTGCAGGATTCTTAGGCCACGTGACACAAGGGGTTCGTCGTCGTGTTTTCTTCCATTGTTTCACTCGGGGAGTCCTTGACGGGAGAATAATGCGCGGTTCCCTGCCCGGCCACATCGCCTATAGATTTACGCATTCCACATTCGAAAATCATTGGACGATAGGCCTGATCATGTGACCTTGAGTTGTATCTGTCTTTCCCTCGTTCTTCGCAATCTTCATCAATCGCCATCTTCGCAACTGCTCGTTTCACTCAACCTCATTTTCACAACAGGAAAGTGCAATCAATGGTCCAACTTGGTAAAGGAATTTTATGCCTTAAGTAAATGAGAAAGAAAACAAAAAATTTTGCAGCCTAAGTAAGTTCTAAAAATACATGAAATATGGTGTAACATGTGAATTCGAAGTTCACGCGCATGCTTCCAAAAGTCCTTGTTGACGTCATGAGCTTGAGGTTTAAATTACCATTGCATCGATCACCTTTGACATCTGGACCTTCTCTATATGGTATGGTTCGTTATGTCACCCCCCCCCCCTCCCCCTTCCTATCCATCAGTCCGCTATGTCACCACTGATGAAATATGGATCGAGACTATTCCTCTCCTCATTTATTTCATCATTATAAAGCAGGGGTGTCAAACATACGGCCCGCGGGCCGGATCCGGCCCGCGGAGGTGGTTCATCCGGCTCGCCGCCTGTTCTTGAAATTTCCGCTTGTATTGACTGATAGCACAAATTTCGGTGAAAAAGTATTGGTGCGGCCCGCAGGCATCTGCAGGATTAGGANTGTTCTTGAAATTTCCGCTTGTATTGACTGATAGCACAAATTTCGGTGAAAAAGTATTGGTGCGGCCCGCAGGCATCTGCAGGATTAGGAATGCGGCCCGCCGACCGATTTGAGTTTGACACCCCTGTTATAAAGGATCTGTGACTGCGTGGCTCCTGACTCGACGCACCTTTCCTACCACTCTCGTTCGTATGAGGGTAGCATGCCGAGACGAGAATAATATTGCCAGAGGCGTAACTTTCCTTAGCTGCGCTTAGCTGTTCTCACTTCCCGCTCTTGATCCACGCAACACCCTTTCAAACAGTCAATAACATGGTCTTGAACTAATGTTATCATTATGCGAATATAAAATTCCCCAACCGTCCAATATTCCTCTGATGCTCTTTGGTTCCTAAAGCTTGTGCATGAAGATAATGTATGAAACCTTCATGAAACAAATCCAAAGAATGACTGAAGATGATCATTAAGAAACATGATACTTGGTAATACCTTCCCAAACACGCCGGGGCTTGCACACGAAATTAACTTGGTTGGATTTGAACCCTGCTCCATTGCGATGGGAGCAAAGCTTGTTATCGACCGAGCCACTCCGCTGCCCCTTTAACTTACTTAGTCATTCATTTTGGAACTCCATATAAACTTAAATATAGGTTTTCCAAGTAAAATATGGATAGAAGAAAGTCAAATGTTGGATGTTGGACTTTGGAGAAGAGCATGCTAGAAATTAGGAAAGCCAAATGCGACAGCAGAAGGCCTATCTCACATCCGTGCCACACGACTGCCGCAGAGCTGCATTTCTCCTTCACACGGCTCCAAATGCAAATGCATTCATGCATATGCGAGGATGCGTTTCGTTACCGCATCAGCATTGGAGTTAATCCAATTGGAAAACTTTTATCTCGAACCCTGAAGAACGAAAGATGATAACAAGTGCTGGTTCTCCAAGTCCAATAATGAAGTATCAGGGTCAAATGCCACGTGGAAATTCAAACTCGACTTGGATCTGAATGGGAGTCAAAAGCAACATAAGGAAAATCATATAAGACAGTCCTGCCGGATACTGGACTTTCAAGACAAGCATATTCAGCACGAGGAAAGTCAGAAGTGGCAGGCCCTGCCTTGAAAGCATTTTCTTGGCCGTTCTTATTATGCCGCTAGTACTGGATAAACTGGGTATCTCCAGTTATTCTGGGGTGGATGGTTGTGCGTACAGGAACCATTGGTAACATTATCCACGAGTGCAGATGGTTCTGGCTTAATGTCCCAACTCCGAAAGGATGGATAGGCCAAACCTTGTTCAATACTGGCAATTCTAGCCTTTTCCAACTTGGTTGCTTGATCGAAAATCTGCGCTTTCCTTACTGCGCCTCGGGAGCTCTAAGACACTGTTCTCGTGCATTTCATGCGTCTTTTCCTTCTTACTTTATCTTCTTTTTTGAAAAGTGGGGGAGCACGTGTCGCCCCCCCCCCTCCCCCCCATGTTACGCCGCTGTACGGGAATGGTTCCAGAGCGGGAGAGGTGAGCACGGCTCGACAGTTACGCCTCTCTGGCAACGCTGTTCTCATCTCGGCTCATGGCCATACAGGTATGAACGAGAGTGGAATGCATTATTGCATCATGTCAGGAGTCACAACCGCGGATCCTGATATTGATGAAATTGATGAAAAGAGGGATAGTCTTGATATATACAGTATATTCCGTCAAGGCGGGGACAGAAGGATGGGAAGGGTATGGCCAGGGTCGCACCGGTAGCCTAGGGACCCCCCGGAAAATAGCTGACAAACGGAACCTGCAACCCCTCCCCCCCTTTCCTAAGAATATACGTGAGAAAAATTCGGGGATGGACTAAAAAGACACATCATTCAATGTTGATATAAAGTAATTATATATTACAAATTATGACAGTAATAAATACTGTAATAAACAAGCTTTTGTAATTGTTTAAATCAGGTCTGCCCCCCCCCTCCCCCCCGCGGAATTTCCCGGTATCCTGGTAGGCCAGTCTGTCTCTGGGAATGACATAACAAACCCCTTTTATATTCTAAAATATGTTGTTTTCTTGGCACACTGCTTTGATGCCGTTATTTTCTCTGCACTCAAGTATGCCATTATGCGAACTAATTTTTTTGCGTTCGCAACTACTACTAGTACTATATTCTTTGCTCTGTAGAATCTGCTAAAGGACCATTGACAATAGTTTCTCCTGTCACAGTCACAATGTCGAAAAGCCCAGTTTTGGGGGTCCCTTTACGATAAGGTAGTCAACGAGAAGCAGCTCAGGATAGGGTGAAAGTGCGCGAACGCGGCCCGAGTACACCCGTGAGAAAAAAAAATACTGATGATGACAATCAGCAACGCGTTTTGGGGGAGAGGGGGTTGAAGGTTCGAACTCCCCCCCCTCTCTCATTGTGACTGTCGCCCTCATCCCTGACCGTATTCTGTTACCTTCCGCCCTTCCAGCTCAGCAATTTCAGCGTTAATACACGCCCCTCCCCCAAGTGGCATAGACAAGGGGGGAGGGGAAAGGTGCGGGCCCCGATTCCCCTTCACCCAGCAACCCCTTTTGCTCCTAGATCGCTCCCAATTTGAAAATCCTTGACGCATCACTGATGATAACGATAAAGGAGAGGAGAGACTATAAACCTATCTCTAACCCATTGGAGTTGATGACCTACCGCAAAAGAACTTGAGTGATTCAAGAAGTTTTAACACCACCAACAGCCCTGTCTGACTATAAGAACCCCATAAGATTCACATGTTTCCACCGGGAGAGGGATTCCGTGGTTTCGTTGAATTCCACCGAATGGATGGGACAGTCAAGAAGAACCGAAATTCAAAGTGAATCCTTATAAGCACCTACGGACGCGGTGACGTGATGTGATCGTCACCTACGATCGTTTCGCATGATTGTCAGACCATCAATCAGGGAAGATAGGAAATTCCTATCACCTTTTCATAGACTCTCGAAAGCCTATTTACGCGGTATGTGAGGCTTGATACTCACCTCAGCTCACACTGTAACTGGTTCTCCTTGAGTCACGCAGTGCCCGTATTAGGGAATCCTTTGAGCTAGTTCTATTTCATAAATACGCAAGTGATCTTTCGACACCTTTCAACTTCTGAGACATGGACGAATCCTTGCTTCGTATTCCAGGCGTGAAAGAATGATCCCTGGAAGAGAGAAGGCTAGATCGACGCTCTGGGCTTCTATCGTGTTTTTGTCATGTCTCTGCTTGAGCGTGAATTCTCAATCCGAGGGTGGCAACATCTTGGACTACATCATGAAAAGTCTTCGCGATGTTATCGACAGCCTGGATCTCCCGTCCAACGCCAAGGAATCTATTCAGCGCGATATCATCGGACTCTTCACCGTGAAATACCCCAACGAGATCAAAGAGCAAGGCTCACAACCGAACGAGCTTTTCGAAGAATTGCATTACGCCATGCACGACCTACTCGACAATGCCGGCCTCAACGCCTCAGATCTCCTGCGGGTGCATAGCAGCATCCACCACATCTTTTCGGACATTTACCTCGGTTCTTCCTGCTATCCCAAATACAGCGAGAACCACACGGGATGCCTGGCTGAGAGGGGAGTCCTAGGAAGGTGTAGCATCGTGCAGAGTGGAGTCTCGGAGGCCGAGAAGGACGTCATCGTCACTCTTCACAATCTTCTCCGCTCTCGGGTCGCCCAAAGTCTCATCGGGATCAAGGGTTATCAGCCAGAAGCTTCAGACATGAGGGCCATGGTCAGTTCTGCAAATTATGATGTCAGAAAGAAGACTGGACAGGGCTTTTTCACATTATTCTCGCATCTCAAATGACTTTCAGGAGAGCCGCTGGTACCAGTAGAAAGGGGTGGTGATGATATTGTAGTAACTATGTTCGTGATCTCGACACCTGTGCAAGGGAAGGTAAAACAAGTCTGGATATTGAGTCAACATGGAGAAAGCTATCAGAACAAGGCATGAATGGTTGAGTTTGGAGCCTGAAAGCCTTGAACAGCCTAAAAAAAAAATATCCCCATAATGTTGGCTTAGCATAAATGCTCATCTTCGGAGCTTGTTAGTTCTCGACTTTGAGCTTGAATCCTGTGGTAAGAAGGTAAATGTGGAATTCTCGTTTCCCGTGAATATCCGGCAACGTGTCCCAGAAACATCGCCTGTAACGTTCCCTTTCTGCTGATTCCATCAGCATTTCTAAGCCCTCGGACAGGTAAAATTGACAACCTAAGTTGCGAGTGTATTCCCCCTCCAATACTCAGGAACAGTCATTTCCAGATTTTCTTGTTTCTATTAGACGTGGGACGAGGAGCTGGCGTTTTTGGCACAAACATGGGCTAATCAGTGTCAATCTGAGAAGGATTGCGACGACTGCAGACGAGTCCGTGAGTCCGAAATTAATGAATCCCCCCCCCCAAAAAAAAAGGAAAACGGAGTCTGTTTTATCGGCAGGATGCATTTATACAGCTGCATGAAGTAGTTGATTATTATTGGCTACTGGAGTTAAACGAGGAAAACTAGGCTTAGTTTTAATTTCAATATTTTTTCGCTTTAGGGTGGGTTGGAGGTTTAATTTTTTATTTATTGGCAAATGACGAGTGATGAATCGCCGTCAAAAGAACATCCAATAAAAAAATAAAAAACAGAAAAAAAAATCTTTCTACAATCAGCGATGCTGCGAAAAATTACTAAACTTACAGTATGAGAAATTCCTGGAGTCCGCCAGATCCATCGGGACCCAAAAGCATAATTTGTTTCCTTTTTCCCGATCCCCTCCCAGCTCGTTTCGCCGTGGGTCAAAGCATCTTATCGTCCTTCCCTCTATCGGACAGTCGACACCCTAACTGGACATCCGCCGTGATGATGTGGTACAACGGGATCGAGAAATTCCCTCACGACCACGTCTATTTGTACCAACACGGTTCGGATTGGGCTCCGTACACGCAGTTGGTCTGGGCCAATACCTACAAGGTTGGCTGCGGTTATACCTTCTACAGACAGGGACGGTTCCAGAAACAGCTCTACGTCTGCAACTATGGACCAAAGTGAGTTCAAGCCTCTCTATAGAAAATTTCAGTTTATACGTTCCTGCATATTTTTTTCACATTTGCTCAACCGCTATTGTCCTGAAGAAATGTATGCTTTCTCCATCACTCTGCATGCTCATGTGAGGGCCGTTTTGCCGAATTTTTTATGCATTAAACAGAGGGACATTGCAAGAGGGTCAACGTGCACTGATGCCCCAACATCATTTTCACCCCCTTCCCAACTGAAAACAACACCCACCCGTACTATCCCTGTGGTGCGTCCGAAGAAACGATATTTGGCATTCCCCATCCTCTCCACAACATGAATAATCTCTAGGAATTTGTCTCTGCTCTCGGTGGTTGCGGAGAGGCCAGATGGTGTTCGCTTTTGACACTGCTGTTTTTCTTGTCTTTCTTAAAATTTCCTCTTTTTTTTTTAACAACGTCTCCTGAATTGCAGCTATTTCGGAGACGACACCACACCATCAACAATTACACATACTAGGACGTTTGTGGTTTAGAGGTTAAGTCATGTAAACAATTTAGCTATGCTACCGCTATGCTATGCTACTTATAGAATGATATATCATAGAATATACAGGGTGATTCAGAATTATGTATAAACACTTTGAGTTGTTGTATCTCAAAAAGTTTATTGATTAGATGCAGAGAAAAAGTTGGGTCAGATGTTCAAAATGTCCACCACTGGCAAGTTAACATCTTTCTGTAGAGAAATGTTTGGGTTTTCACTGTGGAGGGCCAGGCCAGGGATTACTGTGTGGATGGGACTCTCCTCTCGTGGGATAATCAGACATTACAGATTCAGTGGTACTGTTACTGGGCAAAGTTATCTTGAATTATTAATGAATGATGCAGTTTCTGCGATAAGAAACATGTTTCCGGACACAGTGGTGTATTTTCAGCAGGTTGGTGCACTACCACGCTTTCACGTAAACGTCCGTGCCTATCTGGATACTGAATTTCCTGAAAGGTGGATAGGCCGCCGGGGAAGCGCCCATTAATACCCCCCACGGTCTCCAGACCACAGCCCTCTAGATTTCTTTGTGTGGGGATGCCTCAAAGACAAAGTGTACATCTATGAACCTGAAACTGCAGAATTAGTGGGACATGATACAACAGGAATCACGTAAAATCACAGTTGACGTGTGTGCCACTGTATGTCGGGCTGTTAAGAAATGATGCTGTTTGCGTATGCGTGCCAGTGGTGGACATTTTGAACATCTAATCTAACTTTTTCCGTGCATCACATTTCTACATATCTGATGCATGTAAAACTATTTTTGGTTTGTGTTTAAGCAATAAACTTTTTAAGATACAACTCAAAGTGTTTATACATAATTTTGAATCACCCTGTATTAGAGAGGTAGACCCACCTAGCAGTGTGGGATTGGACTCCGAGAGGGCACACCTACAGTCCACCTCGCAGTGCCTTAACATTCATTTTGTCGCGCAGGCACACCTGACTATTTCATCCCTCTCAATGTATAAGGGACTTATAAGTATAACTCTGTCAGGCGTAATACCTAATTTGACTGGCTTTCGTAATGTCAGCTCGAGCCTGTCGCTCTGACGATAAGGCTGAAGATATTCCTTCACGACAACGCCAGACCACAACGGCCCAAGTGACCATTGACCAAGTGACCAAGTGGACACCTTGAACTCATTCGGCTGTGAGGTGTTGGAAACACCCACCGCCTAGTCCGGACCTCTCCCAATGCGATTTCCACGTATTTGGGGAGCTGAAGAAGCGCATGAAGGGACGTCACTTCACGTCGGATGCTGCAGTAAAAGATACCGTCATAGACATTTTGAACCAGTTGTCACGATCGTTCTACGAACGAGGCATACCAAGGCTATTGACTCAATGGGACAAATGCCTAAATGCCCATGGAAATTTAAAAAATATATAAATGCTCATGTTTCTTGATAAACACGCGTTGGCTCACTTTCATTTGATTCGCCCTTGTACTCTTCTCCATAGAACGTAATTGTATGATCACGTTCTACTGGACCCTATCTCAGATGCGAGGACAGCAGACCGCCAGTTCAACACAATTTGAATCTTCAGCCTTATCGTCACCGCGACAGGCTCGAGCTGAAAGCCAGTCAAATTAGGTATTACGCCTGACAGAGTTATACTTATAAGTTTAAATGATTATTATTCTTGAAAAGCTAGCCAAATGTCCCTATGATAGATTTCTTTCTACATAGAAAGTTCGCAGGCATTTAATTGGAAACTGAATGTTACTATGGAAGGAACGGGTGGGAGGGGTAAAGAAAGGGAAAACTCGATCGAAAAGGGTTTTCACTCTCCTACATACCATGATGATGACAGGTTCCTTTGGCAGTGTTGTCTTTGATAAGCCGTGTTTTCTTGCATTTCAGTGGGAATCAGGAAGGGAAGCCGGTATATAAAACTGGTCGACCGTGTTCTCGATGTCCACGAGGTCACACGTGCTCGGAGGACTTTCTTTGCGTCTATAACCCCCCGCCGGAGGCATTAAAGATTCGACCTCGACCTTCCCAGGAATCCCCTGGAGCTGGAAGTGGAGAGAAAGAGAAACCACTGAAAAAGGAACGGGGCTGTCAGTATTCATGTGTCAAGGCGCAGCTCGTGTCTCAATGCGCACCGGGAACGACGACTTTCCCCCTTCAGGGACTGAGTGATTGTGGATCCGACGAAATCTGTTGCCGACTGGAGGCCCCAACAACAGCGCCTAATGATACTTCGACTCCTACGACGAAGATTCCGTGTCCCGTCGGTTTCAATTGCACGGATGCAGAATTTGTGACCCTATGCAATCCTGGCACTTTCTTGCCGTTCTCCTGCCCCTCGCCCACACAGTTATGCTGCCGGGTCTCTATTGCTAACGCTCAGGTGTCGATGCCCATCCCGCCAGAGAAGGAACAGTGTCCATCTACCCATGCCTGCCTTCATTCCTCTGCGAAAGCCCTGTGCGAGCCAGGAACGGAAATCTCGCCTACCTCTTGTGAGGGAAATCGAGTCTGCTGCATTATCCAGACCAAGACTGCTTCCTACCCGCCTTGTGATCATACATGCGTCTCCGCGGCCAACCTTCAGTCCTGCCTCTCCGGGACCGTCAAGAACGGAACAGCGTGCAAGGAAACGAATGAGTATTGCTGTCAGGTGAGGAAGGAGAGCGAATCCAATGTACAAAAGGCACTTCCTGCAGCTACCGAATCTAATTCTGAGAAAGGTGACGTTCCCAATTGCGATCCCGCCATCGGCCTCTGCATGGTGTCGTATCTGGCGAGTCGATGCCAATCCGATGGTCAAAGGGATTTCACCGCCCTTTTCAGATGCCCCGGCAAACTCCATTGCTGTGCCTGGAAGAATGCCACCCAAAAAAGAGAACAAGAAATCCTCTCCAACGGAGGTAAGCTACTATGTAACTAAACTATTCACATTACATGGATTCATTCATATTATACAGGGTGTCCCATTTATATCTGACACATTTTTATTTGATATATCTGAGCATAACTATAAATTTGACTAATTTTATTTTTTGTCTTTTACAAGTGACCCCTTGAAGATTTGAATGATGGATCATTACGATGTGCCAACACGAATTAAAATTGTTGAACTCTGTTTTAAATATGGTAGTGTTGTTGCTTCTCAGAGGGCTTACAGAAAGGAATTACGACGCAAAGATGATGTTCCGTATCGTAACACCATTCTCTCCTTAGTTAAGAAGTTTCGTGAAAAGGGAAGTGTTTGTCCATCCGAGCACCTAAGACGTCCCACAGTGAGAACAGAAGAAAACATCGCTGCCATAGCTGCAGCGATAGCACGAAATCCTAAGAAGTCAGTCCATCGCCTTTCAGCAGAAAGTGGTGTTAGCAGAACAAGTGTCGCTCATATACTCCATAAAGATCTTCACATCTTCTGTTCTCACTGTGGGACGTCTTAGGTGCTCGGATGGACAAACAGTAGTACAAAGAGTAGCAACAACATTACCATGTTTAAAGTAGAGTTCAACAAATTTAATTCGTGTTGGTACATCGTAATGATCCATCATTCAAATCTTCAAGGGCTCACCTGTAAAAGGCAAAAAATAAAATGAGTCAAATTTATAGTTATGCTCAAATATATCATATAAAAATGTGTCAGATATAAATGGGACACAGTGGCCCACTTGGGCTTTGAGCAACCACTTGAATCCAGACCATAACCATGGGTTAGGGTAAATTGGGGGAATCTGACCATTGGGTGAAATGTGGCCATAAAGGTACGTTTCATCCAAGAGTTTCATACGTTTCAAAGTGGTGAAGCTCAGATTTTGCTGCATCAACACTGACACAAGATCACTTGCGTCATTCAGCATGGGTGGCCCAAATCGACTCCATATATGCTTGAGATCTGGTTTTCAAAGGTAATCAATTGCAAGTCAAAATTTCCCGCTCAATAGTTATTAAAAATTTTCTTTTTTCGAGTGTACTCATCATTCGAGGTGAGTATAGGAAATAAGTTGTGTTCTAAGCATTTACATTGGATATTGTCACATCATCTGATGGGACCAATTTTCGTCTGCTGCTATTAATTCAACAGAGTTGCTATTTGCAAATGAAGTATGCATTTGGGGTAAAGTGGCCATATGCATTCGGGGGGAAATGACCTGTTGATAATTTTGCTCCAATTCATTTTCAGATACCTAGTATTAATAAATATTAATCAGTGAACAAAGAGCGTCTATACTATAAGGAGAACTTGAACGGGGCTGTTTTAACTGTTGAAAGTATATTTTAGTGTCTACGCTGCTTTAAAAGCACACGGAATCCCTATAAGAAGTCTTGTTCTTGATGTGGCGTGGTGTACCCACCATGGTGCTCGGGACATTTGAGTTTCGCCAGCTAGGACGATTGCCTGCGCTAGGACAAGAATCGGAATGGGCTTTGGCCACGCATTTGATTGTACAGGATGATTTTTATAATGTCATACCATTTGAGTCAATACACATCCATTAGTGGAGAAACGGAAATCTTAACAACAGTCACAGGCACATATGGGAAACTTTCAAAACAGGTTGCAGCTGTGACGACTATCTCGCCTGGCGTGGCCGATAGTACTAAACAAGATAATGGACTTGAGAAGTTACCGGCAAACTGCCTTAACGTCACAACAGAATGGGATCTATTCCCTTGGGAAGGTTCGTAATGGTCGATACGGATCCAATTTTCCAGGGGCAAGGATTCCTATGCAGACCAGGTCTCACACAGATTCCATTTATTCAGACCTACACTTCTACATATTTCACGCATACAAGAATTCTCACAGGATTCAGGTAATAAGGAAATTAGACACAAAAGTATCTCAGCACAACCTCACGAGTGCAACCCTTCCTTTCAAAGTATTAAGACAAATTCTAAAAAAAGGAACAAATGTCTCCTCACCCTCGATGCAGCACCAAGCGCAGTTACCTCGTGATTGGGGCAATCACGGCTAATCAACGAAATCGGAAGGGGTTGTTCGGGCTTCAACCGTCCGCAAGCCCTCTTCCAATGTTCGTCCTTGCTAGTTCTAAGTGTCCCTCCCAGCTACAACCGGCAAGGAACAGAATCTGGATCACACCAGATCCACCTAAGTCCAGCTCCAACCGGCACTTAGGCCCTCGGCTCCAACCGAGTAGAACTAGCAAGGTCTCACTTAAAGAAATGGGACCCTAGCCCGACACCTGATGGCAGTGGCGAAGTCAGGCGTCTCTCCTTCTCCTCTTCTAGGGGTTTTGAACTGAGTTTAAATAGGGTTCCCTCCTTCGGGAACAGTCATTACAGCATGCTGAACACTCCATGGCTGGATGGATGATCACCAATCATCTTCAGATGCTGAGCGGCTTGATGACTGGATGGATGATTGAGAAAATACCGACAGCCCCGTAGGAAAATAGAGGAAGGTTGGACCTTCCATTCCGCTAGACACATGTCTTTGGAGTCCCATAGATCAGAAGGAGCCACTTCCTTCCCCTCATGACCGTTACCTTTCCCCTGAATGACAGATCGGGGCCGGTAGGTAAGGCGTGAGGGAGGGAAGACGAATAGTAGAAATCTCTATTCTTGGAACGTCCTCGTACAACCGGCGAATGGAGGATACCCTGTCCCTGGGTCACTACACAGCACTGTAATGCAGCAATTAGGAGCAAAATATTACATTGTGATGTAAAGTTGACTGCAATGGAGGAGATAAAGACGAGCAGCAATACATATATCGAATGTGCTTAGTAAAGTAGCGATGTGGTCACATTTCCCTCAGTTTGGGGGAATGTGACCCAAGTTCTCCTCTTTCAATCTTTTCACAATGACTTCCTTAAAGTTAAAAATATAGATGGTTTTGTTATTTCAATAAGTACAGAGTACTTCAGGGAGAAGTATTCATTTTATTTTCTACTCTATCTAAAATTAGTTGTGCACTTCACCAAAGTTGAAATATGGTCACATTCCTACAACTTACCCTAACCAAACTGAGTCTCCCAAGATCGGAGGTTACTTGGTTCTTAGATGGGGGCGGTAATAACTGGGATTCCTCAGTGAGTGATTCATGGACCTACAACCGGTTATGATTGAAATACAGGCGAAATCGATCATAAAGACCTCGATTAGAGCGACGAAGAATGCTTGATCCGGCCTAAAGCCCATAAGGCCCGTATATTTACACCTCGCTTACAGCGAGCTCTGTTGTTGCGAGAACTTTCAGTATTGAGTAACCTGCAGTTACTCAACACTGAATCAACTTTGAATTTGATTAGTCTCATTAACCCATTCGCATCCGATGACGCACTAGTGCACCATATTAAAACTGTCAGTTTCACGAATTGTTCAAATCGAGCATTATGAAAAGTTACCTTTAGTAACCCATTTGTTTCCAGCGGCGTACAAGAACGTCATTGGTGATATTGACAAGTTTAAATATTAAGTTCTTGTACGTTATTGGGTACGAATGGGTTTTAAAAAAATCAGAGCTAATCTCCAAAATTCTTGAGTGGATCTCTCTCTCTCTCTCTCTCTCTCTCTTCTCTTTCTTTTCCATTCATTTCTCGAAATTCCGTGCCACGATCACAGCAAATTCTATATTGTTGGAAAGCTCTATCTCCTTTGACTCAGTATACAATGCATGATGACTCTTGCTGGAACTGTCGATTGGACGATCAAGGGAAGATGGCATATATAAATACCTACGGGCGTATTTTACACGTAATAGCGCTTCGCCTTTCACATAAATGTGCAATGTATAGGTTGAGTATGAGAAGTGCTATCTTGTGCAAATGTTGTCCATCTATTGGACCATTCCAAAAATTGCGTCACCTCTCCCGCTACGGTCGAAAATTGAGCCAGTATATTGTTCCAATATCCATATATTGCCAATATAGCCAATGAAGGGACGTGATTAGATCAACATTGCTTGCCACTGGGGTTGATGTTGGTCCAATTTCTTTAAATCAGTTGCCCCGAAGTCGAAGCTGTCAGACGAGACGTGTGGGTTATCGGGGAACAGAACTATTGCCGGCTCGGCTCGGCTAGAATATTGCTGGGATGCAGTGGTGTTTGACTCTAAGGAGAAGATCGTCTGCAGTGGGTCGCTTGTCGAACGCCAATTCATTTCCACTACTGCCTCCTGCTTCCTCTTCGAGAAGTCTCTCTCTCTCTTCCCTTTCGCCCAATCCTGAGGATGTGGACCAGAGAAACTCGTGATGAACCCAACATTGTTCGTTGTTCTTGTAGGCAGTACGCGAACGAGTCACTGTGGATCCAAGTGGGCGGGAGTTCCGTTCGTCATAGAATCCGTAATAACTTTCGGCATTTCAACTTTCGAGAAGATACGCTGGACAGTGACATGGGGATCATGATCATGGAGGAACCGGTGAAAACAGAGGAAAGAGCGTGTCTCCTTTGCACCCACGATCTCACCGATCTCCAGGACTTCTCCCAGTGCAAGCTCATCAGTCACATCACAGGTTCCTCATCTTCTCTCTGTCTTGCGTCTCAGATTCTATGGGGTCAGTTAGATAAATGAGCACTCTTCGGACAGCGGATGGGAAGATGACGAAGGAGCCAGTGGTGTATCCAGCCTCGATCGTGGATCCTAGCATATGTGAGAAGAGAATTACTCAGGGGAGTCCTCTTCCATTGAATTCTGCCTGTGTCTCCTTCTCCTCCTTTTGGTGTGGGGAATCCGGCGCTTCTCTTATCTGCAAGAGATCCGGCTTCTACCGGGTAGGCATTCTCGTGAGAGGTTGGAGTGACGCCAATGCAAACGAGCCATTGGATTGATGATCACTTTCCGCCGAAGGAACCAATCAGATGGCACATACCTGGTTGGCGTCACTTTCTGGCCACTTGGTCATCTTGGAAAATACAGGAAGATGATCTAGAAATGGCTTGATTCAGTTGGCAGGTCACCTTTCCATTCCGACTGGGAATTGTCAAGAGGCACGCGAGCCCGGGATATTCGCCAATGCCTCCTCCCCCTGGTCAGTGACCTTCTATCAGACAACTTTCACGGCGAACCTCCTTCTCACCGGAAAACCCAATTCTTCCAATGGAAACCCTGAGATAGGTAACATTGAACGTAATGGCTTTTTCAGTTGTTTTTTCTGGTCAGGTTTAAGGGACTCAGAATCAGATCATGAATTCTGATTCTTCCTTCTAGCGCAGTTACACAAGTTCATAAAGCTGAAAATAATATGATTATCATTCACAAAGTACCTCGCTTTCTACATGTATAAAATATATTCCAGGGGGGGATGAGAGTGGCTGCGGACAACTTCTTGGAGTTGAACACGGATTTTTCAGGATCTTGTCTTGCTCAGCTCTCTCTAATAAGTGAGAAATTCAGATGCTTGATATGAGTGGTTACGCGTTTCTGGTTCTTATTGCAACGATATCAAAAAATTTTTTCGTGCACTCCTCTTGCAGGGCAGCTTATGACGATCGACTCGAGGAGTTCGAAGGCAAAGGCAAGTCAGAATGCATTAGAGACGGAAAATACACGATCGGAAGTGTAGTGAAATACACATGCCAGCGATATTACATACTAAGGGGTTCTCCTGTTCGGACTTGTACGAAGAGTGGGCAGTGGACGGGGCCTACCCCCATCTGCGATCCAGGTCAGTCTGCGTTGATTTTTCTTATAATATATTTTAAATGTACTTTCATCTTTTCAAGTCACGGTGATAAGACAGTGGATTTGTCATTTCATTTCTAGAATGTGGACTGAAGGTGCGATTGGTGCAGCTATCGGCAGGAGGAAAGCCGTCAGATTTAGGCGAGTGGCCGTGGATGGCAGCACTGTACGATGTTAAGAATCAGGACATTTATTGTGGAGGGGCTCTGATCCGGGAGCAATGGATCCTCACGGCGGCTCATTGTGTTACTATTAATGGCTCCCCAAATCCCCGTCAACCTAACGACATCCTCGTTTATATTGGCAAGCACTATCGGAATAACTCCGAGGACGACGAGTTCGTACAACGGAAGAAGGTTGGTTCTTCATTCCTTTTGTTCCTTGCTTCCCTCCTCGTCCAGCCTTCCCAGGTCTGAGGAGGGGCACCAAATCAGCTATCAATATTGCTAGAGCGGTCGTAGATTAAAAATAAATAAATATTTTTATCAGATTAGAATCAAGTCATGCTCAACACGTTGAGTAAAATTTTCCTGTATGAAGTTACCACTGGCTGAACTAAAGCTTCACAATATTCTTGTGACAAGATTGCCTCTCTTGTGACCATGTATACCACTTCAATCGTTTGTTTTTTTTTCAACCTGGGAAACGATTGAAGTGGTCCTTAGTATAAATGAAGTCACTAGGAGAAATAAGAGACATGTTCGAGAGAACTAACCCCCCAAAATATTGCCAATAGTATCAGTCATTTGCATCGGGAGACAATAGGCAAGGTTGGCTGCCTCAGTCATGACTGAACCCAAGTCGAAGGTGCTTCCACACCATGATTCGTTCCTCACACTGAAATGCAGGTGAAGAATCGCAGCGACACTTCATGATTCGATCTTCAGTTCAACTGCTATCATAGCAAAATTGCATTGGGAATCTTCAACGATCATGACGCTCGTTTGGTCAACTTCCTTCTTAGGCACTGCTGTTGGAAGTCTACCAATCTAGGGTGACCTTCGATATTGGCTTTCTTTTTGAACTCGGCGAACCAGAAAAATAATGTGGAAATGAAACGAGGAAGCTACGAAACTGGTCTTCATTTATGAAATGTAGGGAGGCTTTACGTTTCAGAGACGTTAATTTCACTTTGTCGAGAACAAAAAATTGAGATCTAAGTTCAAAAGGATCGTTTCCAACTCTGCCGAAGTCGCATCTTTTTTTAAGGTAGTCTGTTAGTACACAAAACTGACAGTACCCACCGCGAAATCGTTTAAAAGTATGACAGAGGTGCTCTGGAATTAGGTTCGATTACAGCCAACCGACCATTGTAACCTTTCACCGAAGGCAAAACGACTGATCCTACGAAAGAGCTTTTGGGGATTTTATGTTCTACCGGTATTGAACATGTTTCTCATCTCGAGTGGTGGCTCCCTAGGGTCTATGACCTCTTCTCTCAAAACTTGCCGAGTGATTCGTGTATATTTCGGGTGGCGCAAAAAAACGCGTTCTGTTTGACGCCTGTTTGTTTCATAGAAACCAACTGTGGAAGTTCTAGGTTCGTAATTTTTTAAATATCAAACTGGAAACGCTACAAAATTTGTTTCCTAAAAGTTTCAAGTGCCTCGTTTGTCTGGATAAAAAGTGACAGTCATTCCGAGTGCAGTCATGAAGTGCAATTTTTTTTCCCACGAATGAAGTGGCTGAAGGGAATGAAGCTCGAAAGGTTTCGCTCCTTCGATGCCAAAAAGGCTGTTTATGTTGTGTCCTTGTCATAGCATTCTTGATTGTGTAGTATCTTCAGGCCTCATGAATTTGATGTGTAAAGGCTGAATTTGATGTGTTTAGAGTATAAGGACTGGAGAGGGAAGTGAATGTTAAGAGCTCCCTATCAAATTGTGGACTCTTGAATCTCTTCCTTCATCAGCCCCTTTAAAACACTCCTTTAACACAATGACCTTTTCCTTTGTAGGATAGATAATGATACTGCACAGTCAAGAACATTGCAATAAGAATGCAGCAATGAAAAGATGGCTCTTTGACGACAAATAGGTCACATCTGTCGAGCACAACTGAAATTGCTTCCTCCCGATACGTGGAAAAGCGGAAATTTTTTAAATCGAAATTTCAATGACTTGCTTTTTACTCAAGCAACCTAGAGACTTAAAGACTTTATGGAATAAGTTTTAGAGTGTTTTCTATCTAATGCAAAAAATATATATAAATTTAGCATTCCTACAGTAGGTTTTATAAAGCCTCAAATAGGACGCATTTTTTACTTGCGCCACTTGGTATGGCTTCTTCGCTGCAGAAAATCCTTGCTAGGACCCCTGATCCATCCCAACCTTAGACTATCTTCTATTGTGGTTGACGTCCTTCGTCCTCTGCGTACTCTTCCTAGGTGTCTCTGATCATCCGACACGACAGTTTCAACTTGGAAAATTATGACTCAGATGTGGCTCTGTTGAAGCTGGCCGAGCCAGTCGATTTGACCCCTCGGATTCAGTTGGTGTGCCTCCCGACGCGATATGATCTTTCAGAGGCCAATCTTGAGGAGGGGTTCAAAGGATGGGTACGGATTAATATAGACTCCATTGTGCTTATATTTCTCATCACTCCCCATGTTTCCCCGATTGGGAATGATCTGTTGGCAGGTGGCGGGTTGGGGTTTTAACAACTCGAATCTCAGAGTGGCCGTCCTGTCGGAGGTGGAATTACCCATCGTCCCGAATGCCAAGTGTCGTCGGGACACAATTCGTATCACTGGGGACAACTCCGTGACTCGCACCCTCACCGGGAACATGTTCTGTGCTGGTTACGGCCTGGATACCCCTCCCGCAGGTATTGCTTTAAGATCCGTCTGCTTTCTCACACCACCATCTTCCATCCATCCATCTTCACCTTGATCGATGACGAGAGTGAGCGCACCGAGTGGGTTTACCATGTAATCATTAGAGTTCAAGACGGTGTGTCCCGGAGATTCGGGGAGTCCTATGGTGTTTCAGTCGGGTTCCTTGTCGGGAAGCCCCTGGCAAGTGGAAGGCATCGTCAGCTACTATTTCGGCAAAGAGGAATGTTCCTTGAGGACCCCCGGCCATTATGGTGTTTTCACTAAAGTCAATGAGTGAGAAATTTCTCTTCTTCCTTCTCTTCTACTAGGTCCACTTGAAAACTACAGCCAGAAACTCTTTTGATCACCACCGTATTCAAAGTGGTTTTACTTGATTACTTTTCCAGTTGAAGCAGTTGACGTATAATTTTTACTTTATTCGAGGAGGTTTAGATACCACCGATTGAAACTATTAGCTACTTTTCTAATAACTTGTGTTCCCCACCATCAGGTCTTTCTTCCAATGCTTCGTTGGGTTTCTTTCTTGTTTCGCTTTGAGATTTAAAAATATGAAAGAGTGGCAAAATGATTAACTTTTTCGCATAATTGCAAAATTTTCAAGAATTACAACCGTATAAATAAAAAATCACATGATTGAAGTTATTGGACAAGATTGCTCCTCCATGGTACTTCGTGGTAGAATTCCAATCCGCTCATGTCCGCTTTCTACTCTGCGAAAACAAAGCTGTTACTGCGACTGAACTTACATTTGAAATCACCCTAAGTGGTGTCTCAGAAAATGTTTTCCTTCCTCCACGATATGTCGTCAAGAAATCACGTATAACTGAACCTCTCCCCCCCCCCCCCCCCCCCCCCCCCCCCCCCCCNCCCCCCCCCCCCTTCATCCCTATCAGGTTTGTTCCATGGATAGCGAGAAACATTTGGGAGAACGCGATATGAAGACCGGACGCACACCTACCATTGATTCCCACGCCTCCCTTTTCGTCTCACAATTTTTTTTTGTTCTTATTGTTTTTGTCTATTTTATTTGCATATTGAAGAGATTATCTTCTATGAAAATTTTTGCAGTGGAATGGAAGCGTTACGGGATTTTTTTTTTTTATCTCCAAAGAGTTCGATTAAACCCGCTCATATTTGCTCTGACATGGCCAAGAACGCTGTTTTTCCAATCCAGTTTTATCTCATTCTTCACAAGCTGGAAGCGACATAGCTACGGCATGACAGTTTTTGTTTGTATTTCACTTCTCAATCCAGTTGATCGAGGTTCGTATGAAGTGAAACGGACTTTTGACATGAGAATAAACGAACATTTTCTTTACCCTGCGTAGTCAGGTCTGTCACCGGAATGGACTGGTTAGGGCGCGGAGGGATGAGAAGAGATATGCCGAGTCATTTTTCGAATTTCCTCTCACACGTGATTCATGACTAATGAGATAGGAAGTGAATACGCCGTCCCAGGCCAGCGTGAAATCCTCTTCAACGACTACATCTGCCGGGGTTCCTTTTTTATTTTTTTTTTGTTTTCCCTTCCATGGCCCTAGCTGCTGATGAATCATCGATAGATGGATCATGGGGCGTAATAGTCTCTACTGCCTTTTTTTTGTCCGTATCATTCGCCCCTGCGGTCGGTCGACAAATGAGGGATCCGATCGTGATGGTTTGATCGGAGAGGGGAACGGTGTGAAAAGACGTCGTCATCGACCTGGTCGAGACAAGAAAAGGTGCCGGAATTGTGTGGCTTTTGAACGCCTTCAGCCAATCTGAAGGAAGACAGAAAAGAAGATGGATCTATAAGAAGCGGCCATGTCTCGATGAACCCACAGTCTTCTATGGATTTCTCTTTCCGACCCAGTATCGTCTCGTTTTGGGGCTTGTGAGTGACCTCTGTTCGACTTTCCTTCTCGTCCGTCATGATTTTCGCAACTTGCGAGAGTCACTACATCGTAGCCTTTGATTGTACGCAGCGGGAGGTTCTATCGGATTTCCTTTGAAAATATGAGAAACGTAGGATGCCATGGCTCATTCAAGGCAGCCGAGAGGGAAAAACAACCAGCAGAATCGTCATACAATCACAGAAGTTGTTCACCGGTCATGCTTGCCAAGGCAACGCCGCAGTTTTCGAGTGTATTTTGCAATCAATTTTACAATGGAGAGGAAGATTCTGAATTGAACTTCCGCCTCGGGAGGCAAAAAGTTTTGTTCCGTCGGGGGTGATCAGTGGAGCGACAAATAGGGGGAACTGTTTTCATGCTCCTTAATTACCTTCTCCCCCCGGGAGAGGGGGAAGGCAAACCAACCAGGTGACGGAATCCGAATCTAATACTTTTTTTTTCAGCATACGCGATTGCGTTTCGAGCTGAGATCTCAGTGGAGATGGAGACGCAAGTCCTCATCCCCGGATGCTTCAGTCTCTATGGAGTGCGGTCGAAGATATCCGTGGTCACGAATCGGAAAGTGAGTCGAGGGGAACGCTTTACGGCGAATGAGGGAATCATCCGAGTGTCTCACGCCCTTCCTCATCTGCCCGAAGACCATCCCGTAAGGACGTTACGACATCAAAATGCTCTTTATCATTCCGTCATCATCAGATGCCAAAATGCCACGCTGTATCCCATGTCAGGAGCGTTTGGAGTTGCGCTTGATGTGCGGTCTAGTGGAAGAAGTGAAGCCGGAGATGCGTTGGCGGAGATGCAATTGGATTAGATGGCTTCGGCTCGTTACGTCTCCTTCCGCGCGCGTGAACCTGGTCGGGAAGTTTCTGGAACGGGACGAGAGAACGCAGCTCGTGTTTGAAGTCGTCGTGGACTTGGATGAACGCGTGGAACTCTGTGCCTTGCTGACGTCCGAGGTCGTCGAGAGATGCACTCCGCCGGTGTCTCCGAATCTGGATGCGCTATTTCAAGGTGAGGTCGTTGCTTGAATTCAGGCAGGGTGGGAGCATAAGTACTTGTAACCATACTCTTTCGTCCGCAGCACGAAAATTAATAGCTGTAAATACATGTTTATAACAGGATATATTGCGACACAGCTCTCACGGTTCTCGCACATACGAGGGGCGTTAAAAAAGTTTCCGGCTCGAGGCATTTCCACTGGCGATAAACCATCCTTACTTACCTCATAGGAGGACAGATGTCTTTGATGGTGACTGGCAAAATTTCATCGTATTTGTCGATGGTAAACAGCTTCTGGGAATTTTTTCCTCGGTTCTACCAAAGGGTCCGCTGAAGGGATATTAAAATTGAGACGAATGCTGCGATGAAATTTCTAACCTCGAAGGAGTCTATCTCCTAGCATATCTTGTTGCAGCTGAGAGAATAGCGTGAATAAACTTGAAATGAAAATCTTTCTATGTCTTGGATTGTTCATTAAAATGAATATTATGTCCTAAACTTCATAAACATTTCCGAGAATTGTTACATCAAGAGTAACATCAACATCACTATCCAGTTCATTGGAAATTTGCCCCCAGAGATGTTGATGGAGTTCAGAAGGTTGCTTTTCTCTTACATGAACACGCCAGTGCATTTTTTAAAAATTTCATTCCAAGTTTGTAAGCCTGTATTTGCGATTTTCCACTATGTCACTCCGTAGGTTATTCCTATTCAAGAGTAAGAAATTACAAGATTTAGTTACCCCATTTTCAGAGTAACAAGCTAAGAGTGCAGCAGTGTCATTATGAGCATTGAGATCGCATTTTGTTCTCCACTTTCTCGAATCCTTCCATCATTGTAAATGGAGACCTTTTCAGGATGAGAAAGGAACTTCTACACTGTAGCTGCGGTTGGTCAAAAACAGGCTGTAAATAATGTGGCATGTTCTGCAGAGCCAGCCGCACGCAAGACAATTTTTTGCCGCTCCATCGTTGCACGATCGTCGCTCCTGACACAATGTTGTCCGTATTGCCACTGCTCAGCTGTTGTACCCCGTGGTAGGGACAGTCACAGTAACGTCCTAACGTCGCCAGACGTTACTGTGACGTAAACATAGATCCTGATTAAGCAGTTTCATTTATCAATCACATTAGGACCTGAAACTTCAATATGGTCGCTTCTTAGACTTTTCCATTTCTCAGCCTAGCAATTGAAAAAATTCACACTACGCTCGAGCACTCTCAGTCTTTGTCCATGGGACTGCACATTCTACAGGGTGTCCCATAAGTCAAGCATCATAGGGAAATTCACATTTTATAATGACACTGAAAAACATATGTTCAACATGTTTGCCATTATTCTTAATGCGTTTTCTCAAACAATCTTACCATTCTGCTTGAACATTCCTCAACTTTGCGTTATTGGCTGCCAATACAGATAGTCATTATTGAATCTCTCAGCAACCTCTCACTGACTGTGTTCCACACATTTGTCCGTGCATATTGACATCTTCCACTATCAGTTTCAATACTCAAATCCTGTAGGAAAAAAAAAAAACTGAAATAACAGAAATCAAAACTTGAATTTTCTCATGATGGGACATGATATATTCCCATGACTTATGGGACACCCTTTCTTGAATGGATTTAATGAGGTTTTTGAGCCCTCCAAATTCATTGCTTCTTTTTCGATTACTCTGATGTAACACATGCCCATGAGAATCTGCGAACTCCTCAAGCATATCCACGAGACTTACGCGTTTATCCGTATCTATTCGCGTCCGGTTCCTAAATGATGGGCGTCCTAAGTACAGTAGCTCGTTCATCGACTGAAATAGGCGTTTTACTTCCTGCATTGTAACCCATGCCCTCACAAAACTCTTCCTTCTATTCACCTGCATTTTCCTATTCTTCTGCTAAAGTAACCAAAATCGAAACCAAAGTTAGAGATCTCGCGTCGCGGTGTTGCCAGCAGACGACAAACGTTTTCTTCACTCACGATCGGCCGCTTTCTTAACAGCATCGGATTGCCTGGTGATTGCCTCGTGGGGAAGGTCTCATTGCCGAAGTGAGGCGACGGTGGAACGACAACAAATACTCTCATGTGAAATGGGCTTAACACTACGTTCACTCTTAATGCGATGCTAGGGGAAATCCGCTGCCTATTATTACTATATCAGTCATGCAACGAGCCAACATTGAGACCCTCCCCATGACGGAAATAAGCAATTAGCTCCACCAAACAATAGTTCGGTTCCTGTGTGATGCGTGAGGTTAGCTTTGTGAACAAGTATTCAGAAAATATAAACTTTCAATTTTTGGAAGCCTCTCCTTCCAAAATTATATTTGACGTTGAAAACATACTACATTACAGTCATGTTGAAGAACCATTTATACGCTTCCAAGTCAGAGATAATCTCCAGATGAAGCCCCACCTCACCATCCGTAGAGAAATGACCAATGAACCGAAGTGGGGTCTGGGGCGTAATCATGACAGTCCTCGAGTCCTAAGGGGAAAAAAGTAAAAGCTCTGCTTTGAAAAATAAAAAGTAGGAGAACAATAGAAAACTTGAATTTTCTTTTGTGGATCCTTTTTGCGTGAACTTTCAGAATTTTTATCTTATTTTCCCAGCCGTATTTCTTCAGTTTTAACGTCAAGGGTGGGCACTCAAGCTTGAAAGTCACATCAGATAGTGCACTTCCAATTTAGGATCCACGATGAGTCCTAGAGACCAGCAATCATAAACAAATGTCTCATCACTTTCATAAGCCTGGAATACTTCTTTTGGTGAAACGAATTCCAGTAATAATATTCTTATAAAATTATTAGAAAAGTAATTTTTTCGATGTAAAAGGCATCATGACCACTGCCCACAAAGACTGCAAAGCAACTGACACCGAAATAAAAGGATGAGGGTAAATTGAGACTGCGTCAAGTAGTTTTATCTTCGTTAGAGGAAACAAATATGTATTTTGTATACAGAGAGGAAGTGTTGGGCAATGAATACCTATTTTTAAGCATTTGTTTCATCAATAAAGAATTATTCCATCGAGCTTGAACGTAGAAAAGAGGAAAACAACCGCTATGCATGACAGAAATGAGTTGAACGCTTGGCAGTGCTGAGAGTGACGCAGCGTTTAGGGTCGGAGGAGATTTTTTTAAAGGTCAAAGTCAAGGGTGTTTACCTCGAGATCGGATGGGAATCTCGAAAACAGCTCTCGGTTTGATGCTATGGTGACTTCATGCAATATTAATCACGTGTTTGGTATTGATTCAGAGTGAGTCTTCCTTGACAGATTCGAAAGGCACGAAGAGTAACTTTATTTATAATCGTAGTTTCACTCAATTATTCTCTGTCAACCGTAACTTTTACTAGTAACTAATACATATTTATGCTAAATACTTGTAACAGTAACTATTTACTTTTACGAAGCAACTTGGTCATCACTGCAGCGAGTATATTGAAGCTTGAACCTTCCCTAGTAGCATAGTAGAATCAACATTGATTCAACGTTTGTTCAACGTCCAGATGTTGAATCAATGTTGTTTCAATGTTATGTGCTACTAGGGTTCCGACTCTGGTCCAAATATCTCCAGCGCAAAGCAACAGGAAAGAAAAAAAGAATATCTGAATTATATTTGCATTTTGGGCTCCAGAGCTAAATGGATATTCAAGTGTAAAATATCTTAAGTTTACGTAGCTGACAGAAGCTTTGTCATCTCAGATAGAGCAAATATTGAACTCATAAATTACCATTTGAAAAAGGAGACATTTCCAGGGATTTTGAGCTTTGGGAGCACTCGCGGTTACGCTTGCACCACCATATATGTATACAGAAATCTTGATTAAGTTCGTCGTTACGCTACTGGGACTCGAGTTTCTCCGTGACAAGCTGCAGAAAATGTCATGTGCACTGTAAGATGTGAAATTTAAAGATTCATTTGAAAATGGGAGGCATGCAACAGTCAGGTGACCAGGATAACTATCGGGGATTGGTCAAAGTCGGTCTCGACTTCAATCGAAATAAACCATTCCACAAAAAAGTCGCAGGGTTTCCTTCGGGCGAGAAGGAAAAAGAAGAAATGAGAGAAAGCGAGAAGAGATCTCAGGCAGGATCAGGCCCTTTTATTCAAGGGCCATAGGACCACCAGTGGAGGGCGTCGCGCTTCCCCTTAGGATATCGGCAAGAAAGAATTGAATGGAAAGTACGCGTCCACGACCATGAAATTAGACATCGCATTCGAAATGGCGAATAGGCAGCTTGCTTGTTCTGTGAAGTGACTGTGAAGAACTTTACGTCAAATGGGAATCGTACAGAATAAAAGGCGTCTGCAAAGTGCTTGGCGTGAATGAGACCAGCAATCGGACGGCGAGAGTGGATTGAATTTCGGACCACCGGCCTTGCTTTCAAAGGAAAGAAAGAAGAGGAGGAAACGCAAATTAGACTACGCTAAATTGTAAACGATTAACATCGATAGAAATTGCCCTCCTTTGTGTGCATGTGATCTCTGTGAAACGGGTGAACAGATTTCCCCCTTACCCTATCAGCCACAAGTGAAGGAATTCAACGTGCCCATCTGATCTTAGCGAACGTCGTTTCCTAATTTTCGGCAAGATTATTTCATTGGGCGAGTCGAGCGAAGTTTCAATCATAATCCCAGTCCTACGTCTCCGCTTCTCTGGGTCCGGATGTATTAGAAGCGGTATTCATCCTGGACAATGCATGGAACACCTGAATTGCTTTCCAGCAAACCAGAACCATGCTCTACATTTCTTTCCATCAATTCCTTGAACTCAATAGAGTGCACATTCTTTCTGTTCAAGCTGCGATAAAACGTGAGTTGAGCAATTATGATTGAGTTGATGTCTTGGCTACGGACGTGACTTTGCAGCCTGACTCAATGGCCGTAGAATGGCCGGCACTCTCAGTATACCGACAGTTATTTCAATGTTTACTTCACACTATCTTGAACGAGTGTGTGAATTTCTGCCTATTCTTTGACCAACGAAAGAATAAGCAGAAATTTCTGAGTGTATCGTTCCCCTCTCAAGTCCCAGCCCTGTTGCAGTCGCCATTTTTTGTGTCCCCCCCCCCACTAAACCATGCGAGTAGGCCCTTGATGCGGCAAAAGATACGGTCCGCTGGCCTTTTCCCGTTTTATTTCATCTCTTTCCTGCTTGGCCTAAAAAAAAACTGCATTTTTTTGGGAACTGGTATAATTAGTAATTAACTGCAAAAGAGGCACCTGGTGTGGCGGTAAAAAACACCATGGATTCTGAATCAGCAAAAGGCTTTCGCCCGCGAATGTGCCATGCTCAAAAAAAAAAGAAAAAACAAGCAAAAAAGACAGGCGGAAATACAACACCAGTTCTTCGTTCTGAGTTTCTTTCGTCTTCCTCAGCCCAGTGGCTCAGTCAGGGAGTTGCTCTTGCAAAAGAATGTTGTACCTCCACAAAAGCCAGATAATTGAAAAGTGTGTTTCTTCCGCTTTCATCTTCGGAAGTAGAGATCGTTTCCTATGCTCGGAAGAGTTGCTTGAGATTGCAGGATTCTCATCCAACTTCCTTCTTTGGCACACGAGAATCGGGATTCCGATTTTTTTTATGGAAAGATCTGCTTCTCTCCGAACTTCGGTTTTAGGGGCCAAATAATGTCCGCATTTGAAAGCCTGGACTCTCTGAAGTTCAGCTATCTTAAATTCCTTCCCGTGCGAGTTTCTATCAAGGCAGATAGATGGTTTTAGCATTGACGCCAGTCTCAGCTAACCTTTAGAATAATGTATAGAATCGTGCTCTTTAGATTTTCTTAACCCGACCTTTATTGGAAGTCTGCGAAGAGCAGTCTGCTAAATGCATGAGATTCGTACTAACGATCACATGATCTGAATGATACATGTAGAGTACCCGATGGACCTGAGCCGAGATCTCTGCCTCTCTTCCACTGCTCGCATCCCGAGAGGCATGGACCTGAGACGTCGGAAGGGGAGGAACGTGTTGGTCTGTCCAGCTTGCGGCAAGGGCTTCGACCGCCCGTCCCTCCTTCAGAGACACCACCGGATCCACACAGGTGCGACGTACTTTCCTCGCCGTGGCTGAGATGCATCATGTCTGGTTTTATGCCGGATTGATACAGAAGTTGTTGAACGGGCATCGTGTGGGATTCTCAGGGTTTATGGTCTTTTTTTGCGCCGTTTCTATCGATACGCACACCGTTTTGAATCTGACCTGGTTTCTCGTGAGGCGTTTTTCTCGCAACGCATGCCTATTTTGACCCCATGCACAGCATTTCCTACTGCAACCAAGGGTGCTATCCTAATCTGAATGTACAATGGACAGTTGGAACGCGAATTAGTCGCATTTATTAGGAAATGCTGCACTACACCGTCGTCTGAGACATTATTTTTCCCCCTTGTAGGAACCTTGTAGAAACTTGTTGCTATGTTTTGGGACAAAGTCTTGCTTCCATGCACTGCGTTTCTCGCAGAACATAGATCCTGTTTCTAAAAAAAAGAAAGTAAAAGGCGTGCAAAAAGACTAAAAACGCCAGGAAAATCTGTATTACATATTGCGCCCATAGAAGTGCTCATCGCAATATTATATTAAGTGAAACCAATCTAGTGCGCGTGATCCACCCCGCGACAAGAAGTAAAAAGAAGGATAGGCATAAAATTAATCAGTCCTGACTCTGATACCAGGGGAAAAGCCTCACAGTTGCGAGGTGTGTGGGAAAGGCTTCACGACGTCCAGTTCGTTGAACACACACCGTCGAATACATAGCGGGGAACGGCCTCATGGATGCCCCGTCTGTGGCAAGACCTTCACCGCCTCCTCCAATCTCTATTATCATCGAATGACTCACGTCAAGGTGAGAGGGGAAAAACGGATTTCGGGAGGAGGAGGGGGGAAGTGGTGAAGCGGTGCTTTGTTTCCCCTGATTGCATCCCGTGTTTCCATTATAGGAGAAACCGTACAAGTGTCGGAATTGCGGGAAATCTTTCACAACTCCTGGAGACTTGAGATGTCATAGTTTCGCCCACTCCGGAAACTGGCCCTTTCTTTGTCCTCTCTGCAAGAGAGGATTCAGCAAAATGACAAACTTCAAAAATCACCTCCTCGTACATTCAGGTAATTGAGATTCCGTCTTTGTCGTTACTCCTGCAATACATTATTTGTCCTCAACACAATCCTCATTCCTTCTCTGACGATAGGGGTGAAGCCTCATTCCTGTCAAGTGTGTGGCAAGTCCTTCTCTCTCCTATGTAATCTCCGGAGTCATATGCGGACGGGGCATGGGACGGAGGGGACGATCAAAAGGACTGGATCTTCGCCTTCGCTCTTCAAGAAACAGAATCATTTTGAATAATGTGGTCAAGTGAGTCAAATGAGTGCGTAAAATCAATCTGAATAAAGTTTTTTTTTTCCCTGAAGGCTGGTGTTGGAGTTAATTTCCAAGTTTTGTTTAAGGATGCTGGGGTTTAGGTTTTTCCACCTCAATTTTGTCTAAATGAGTACAGGAGTATGTTTCTTTTTTTTTTGCCATCCATTTGGATTTGCAGAGATGGCTGAATGTTCTCTGCAACTATAGAGCATTTAGTGCTCTATTCATCATAGAGGACTGAAAATGGGAAAATAGGAGTCCATCTAAAACTTTAGAATTATTGGTAAAGATGATGGTCCAGTACGTTCTGCCGTTTCAAAAATTCTCTGGGAACAAAGATGTATAGTGATTCTTGGTATAGACATTGCTCTAAGACGAAGTGTGAAATACTTAATATTGATGCATATTCTATTTTATTTTGATTCTAAGGCGTAAAAATTAGGGCTGTCAATCGATTAAATTTTTAAATCGATTAATCGTGAGCCATTTAATCGATTAATCTGTCGATTAATCGAATTTTAATCGATCCCATAGTTCCTCCTTGAAATATGTCCTAAGCATTGGGAATGATTCTGCTTATGTCATGCCCAACACCTCGGCGAGCCTCAGGAAGTGACTAAAGAAGTGATTCAAGACGATGCAGTCGCTAACAGCAGTTACTTTCCATACGTACACTAGCTCATCCTACAAGTGACACATTCCAGTCGAAAAGAAAATAGTTACAACTTAGCCATTCTGCCTTTAGCCAACCCATGACGGAAGGATGCAAATATGTAATCTAAATTATTGGACGTATACAGTGACACTTCATTGCGCGGAGATTTTAAGATTCATTAACGATTTACGGGCTACACAGGATGGAAGAGCAAAAATAGGAGCAAACAAGGAATAGGAGAGGGCTTCAAACTTTCGTTTCTACTTCACCTGCCCCCAGCTTCGCCCCTGCTCTTGGTTACTTTCCGGGGGCTCCCACAGACGTTCGCCAGTACACTTACTCTCACTCCCCAGTCTCTACATCATCCTCTTTCCTACTTCCCTGTCCCTTGCCCCTGCCCAACTCCCCTCTTCCTTCTGTGCTTTCCCTAGCAGCTTCTTCATTACGACTTTCTTTTCCCCATTCACATCCAATGACTTTTCGGTCGCTCTGTCCTAGGCCGCTGTTATCTCAGCCTGACGCGCGAGGCCTGCAAGGCTATGCCTTTGAAGGCCGTAGGCTCGGCAGAAGTACACGGGATGCGTACCAGTACGCTTGTGGATGAGAAGGGGTCAGGAAGCTTTTTTTTTTTAATAGTCTTAAAGCGATGGCTTTGTTTTTGCGTGTTCCCTTCTTCCAAAAATACAAGTAGTATGTCGTTCTTGAGGAAGAGCGAGCAGTACGAAAACGACTACCTTCTATAAGCCATTACATTTCATTCCCTTGATATAGCATTCGTTTTCCGTTGTTTTTGCAAAACTATGAACTGCACAGTAAAATTTTAAGGGGAAAAAGAGGCATTCAGTTGGAGATTAGGTGGTCGATTAATTCGATTAATTTCGACTAATTTTTTACATCGCGATTAATACTTAAATCAATTAATCGGTAAATTAATCTAATCGAATTGACAGCCCTAGTAAACATTATGATGCTTTCTCGCAAAGCATTTTGTGGAAGTAGGGAGACTGAAATCCAGTTAACGATGAGCCGAAAGTGAACAGAATATCTCCACAGAAGAAATGTTTTCTGTCTGGGAGGAAAATGGAGACACGGCTGCTTATTTCGGCATCCTTTCTTATTCCTAACTCATTTTTAATCATGGGCCTATAGTGGCCTGGAGAGATTCGGAACGGTGCTCACATCTAAATGCAATAATGAATGGGAATTTCGAGATTGGGCCAGGCACCTCAATCTCATTTTGCAAAAAAAGGCTGCAGAGTTGAGGGGAAACACATAGTTGATTCTTGCGAGAAGCTTGCGTGCTTAAAGACATCTGGAGGGAGTCTCTGCCCTATGTACACAGCTGACTAACAGAAAATTCTACATTCACTCATGTCAGTCCTTAGCTAGAAATCCTGTCCATGAATGAAGCCGTTCTATCGTGATTCGCGAGGAAACTCATTTTCACCGTTTGTCCCCGAGGCAAAGCCTCGGACTGCTGTCCACATTTGCCTTTCATTCTGGGATTCATTCATTTCATTGTGGGGTATGGAATCAGACCGGGGAAAGCATCAATGCGATGTTATGCACCAGACAATTCCTCATTCTCTGTGCTTGTTCGCATCCGGTTCCAAGTCTTTTTCAACAGCCTTCGGCCATGCCCTACCTTGCGGGTTCACGAAAATAAAGGTACGCCTCAGATCAATGTCTAATCATATCGTCCGAGTTTCGTTAGAGCAAGGACAATATTAAAGCTACAATAAATGTTTAAGTCAAAGCATGAAATTGTGCATGGCTCCAGTTGATTTACCTTACCCCCTCCCCTCGGGAAGGCGGACCACGGAAGAGTTCTTTCGATATTGTCACTATGCACTCATTGCACCCTCCCTTCTCACTTGCCTGGCACGCATGAAACCTGTGTTTTCGGATGAATTCTGTTTTAAATAATAAATAACACATTTTTTAAAGCACTATTTTCACTCTATCGTTTCATCCATGGTGAAATATGTCATTTCCGGTTCTTCAGCTTGTTAACCAAGTTGCTTAACCAATTTGAATTTTATGATGTAAAAAAAATGTTTTTTGGCAATTGCAATTGAAATCTAACTTGTTTGCCTTCCTTCCGCATTCGTTATTGAAATTCTGTTGCCTTGAGAAACAACACGCGTTGGATTCTGACCCGAATTTAGGGAAAAGAATTGGTTAGTGCTCTCAAAAGAAACATACATTCCTTCTCACAATGAAAATGTGGAGAGTTTTTTCGCTAATGCGAAGTCAGTGGACACAGGAAAGGAACAACTTAGCTGTTGAGTCTGTGAAAGGGATCCTTCTGGTGCAGTGTAACTTTGAACACGTGTCTAGTAAGATTTTCACGGCTGAATCAACATCGAAAAATGTGTTCAACAGAAAAGTATGCATGGGCGTCGAAAAATTAGTATGAGGCCTGTGTGACTTGTATTTTTAATAACTTAGAAAAACATGCCGAGGAATTTCTCATGTCTTGCTCATATGAGCATGGAACAGGGAACCTTGACTTTCCAATAAAAATAAATATTCCCTGGATAAATGAAGGTGTCCTCCTTTTGGCTCTCCGAAATATGGTAACCCTATTTTTGTCACACAATCAGAGAAAGACGTTCGTCATTCGCCTACGTTGAGACTGTTTAATCCCTCGCCCTGGAGCGAGAGTATGTGCTTTTCATATGTTAAAGCGGATTAGTTTAAACAGATGTAGTGAACTCCCCTCCGACTGTGAAAATTCGGATGCCCCAGCAGTACAGGCATGCGAACACGTTCAAAATACCAGGACTAGTACTTGTGTAATAGTGGCGAAAAAAAAAGATCTCGCCAAAGCGGAGGTTAGGGGGAAGAGATGGGGAGCTAGAATTCCCTACCTTCCCGGAGGGGGGGGGGGGGGGGGGGGGGGAGGAAAGGAATTCAACCAAAAAACTACCGCGCCGCCGGGGGGGGGGGGGGGGGGGGGGGAGGAAGGATAGGAATTCAACCCAAAAACTGTATGGAAAAGTGCATACTTTGACAATTTTCGCCTGGAGGCGGAAGGCCCTTGCCTTCCCAGAGCAATATACGAATGGAGTTTCATTTGATGACAGTAGGTCACGGAATGACACATTATGGCAAAAACATGGTGCTATGAAGTGGATAGTGGACATAGTACAAGTAACGCAAAGTGCGGCCCGCAGGCCGCATACACCACACTAAGTGCCTTAGAGAACATCCACTTTGGGCACCCCTAAACCATCCCTGAGAGAAACTATCATTTGAGTATGCTTCCATGCCTAGGCCTGCCTTCTGATCTGTTTCTGCAACAGCAATCACAGACACATCAGATTTTTGACGATTTCCATCGGTATTATCATCCCATTTGGCTCCTGCCTGTCGCAATCATCCATTGCAAAATATCCCCCAAGGAAATCCAGTGATAAATCGAATGTTCAATTCCCAATAAAACTTGCTCAAGCTTGAGACAGATGCAGCCACAAGGAACAGAAAATGAAAACCAAGGAAAACAATCATCACTGCTTCATTCGCATGGCTCTGAACTTGGACATAGGCTTTGCAAATGAGACTGAATCATCCTGGGTATTTTGACTGCTGGAGAACTCTTGGTTGACACTCCTCTCCACCACCAGGTCAGCAACAGGGGAAGGAAGGTGTTGACTTTCACATAGGACCATCTGAGATTCAGGCACATTTAACTCGTTGGAAACATCAGGAACAGAAGATGCACTAATAGTACCATCACTTGAAACAACTTCCTCCTTTGATACCCTCTTTCTCAAGATGGATTTTAACTCTTGGGTGCCACCAAATAAGCTCTTTATATCACTTGGGCACTCTATGGAAGGTGGGCCAGTGTGGCCTGCTGTTTTTTCAGATGGAAGAGAGTCATGATCAGAGAAAGAGAACAATATTTTTTTAGTAGTGCTTGTAACTTTTCGGTCAGCCCAATGCACATTTCTGGTAACTTCGGACACTTCATTCCCCTCTCTGCAATCTTCATCTTCAGATGCTTCCATCCTAGAGATTGATTAGACATTCACGATGGATATTCCATTGTCACTTGGTCAAGTGGGTGTGGTTTCTATGCTATGAAATAATTCAGGTATATACTAGTTAAAAAAATCTGCTGCTTGTGATAGTTGTGTGGGTCATACATTGACTTTGGCTATAGTTCATGCACCCCAATAAGGGTGCTGGACTACTGGTACTTCAACTCTACAGACATCTTGAGTTTGCATGAAGTTATCATAAACCTCACATGTTTGAGCTGAAGTGGGTTATTGCCTCACCAGAGCCATGCACCTGACCTATGTTAGTTCTGCCAACATTGGTATGCCCATAGAAAATAATGATTTCATTATGAGGGTGCATGAACTCATCCCAAAATTGCTGTAGAGTAAACCTTTCAAGTTTTACAGCATTCTCAAAAAGTAAAGCATTGATAGGCAAGGTTATGAACTAACTTGGCTTGTTCATCTTCAAGCTCCTCCATTTCCTCAAGTTCATCCAGCCTATGCCAGAGGTTCTCCTCCTCACTTTCTATTTGAGAATGCCTCTCAAATTCTCTTTGCTTCTGTCTCTCCTTGGCCAGCTCCTGCTTGTACCTTCTCATTCTTTCCCTATGCTCCTCTAGAAGAAAACAAAAATATGATACACAAGACGAAATTGTCAAATCCAAAAATTATCCATGCAATAGATTGATGGAAAATTAATATGACCTGTAGTCTTTCAGCCCATTCTGTTTTTATTTTGTTTCTCATGATTTAGTGTACCCAGGCATGTCTACAGTCGGAAAATTTTGCTTTGATTAACCCTTTCGAGATTCTAATGATGCATGTTGTATGTCAAGCCAGTACATGTAAGACTCTGTTTTCCTGATGTACAACATGTCATTGAAGTCTCAAAAGGGTTAATAAAACTAAAAATGTCCTTATCAACCCTCTTGCTGTGAAAAGCGAATTTAGTAGCTTTATTATTATTTATGACCCTTCACTACGTAATTAGACTTATTTAAACCCCATAACCAAAGTTCAATCTGCAATGAAAGGGTTAATTAAAAACAGAGTATTATTCATGATTGGTGGAAATACATCATGAGAATCACAACAAATTACTGTGTTCTTACTGTACTCATCCTAATCTGCAGTTTCAGGTAAAGAAATCATGACTGAAGGAAAAGGTAGGAGGAAATCATTCATACCATTGTTTTCAATGTTAGCAATAGTTTTCTGCCCTACTCCATATTCTGTTGGTACGTTGAAAAATGAAGAAACTCAAATACTTTCCTGTTGCCAGCAAGATTTTGCCTAGCAATAAATTTGGGTTCTATAGGCAGAAGTTGGTTTTACACATTGAACTTGCCTCATTATTTCTCTAAATGGGTTTATGGCATCACTGTCTATGATGAGGTGTGGAAAATAAAAACTTATAGATTCAATATTTAGAGTTAGTTTGGTTCAGTAGAGCAATTGTCATTAAGAATCACTTTCATTTGCCTTTTTCATCCAGAGAAATTCCAATAACTATCACCTTTGAATCTAAATGGCCACATTAGATAGCAAAATCCACAAATTGATCAGACAGAAACTGTAACTCTACTTAGCATGATAACTTGCAGGCTCACTTCTCCAATTGCATTCCTGCTCCTCATCATATGGTTCCATGATCTCCATCCCAGCATTTTGTGACATTTGTGATGTGTGCTCTTTCCATGATTGATACAGACCCTTTTCTTTCTCCAACTTCTCCAGCATGTCATCACACACTATATTTGAAAAGAAAGCTGATCATCAGACAATAAGTTTCTTGAGAATTTTATTGTCAGAACATAAAACTTCCCTTTAAAAAGTTTCAGACAGGGGGAAAGAACTGTTCATCCTGCTATGAGAAAACTTTTCCCTAACAACCAGTCATCCCCCAATTGTCATGAAAGTAGGTTTGGAAAATATTCTGGACTATCTGTGGTAGCTCCAATTATTATACAGGGTGGTCCAAAAGTCTCCATACATAGGGAAAATTAACACTTTTTAACAAAATGTAACTTTATTCACAAAATGTGCTCTACATGGTTGCCATTACTTTGAAAACACATACGGATGCGACTCTCCCATTCATGGTGAACTCGTGTTAATACATCTGGTGTTATGCGTTAAAGTTAAACTTTTAACGTTAAAGTTACTTTTTTTTTAAAAGTGTCAATTTTCCCTATGTATGGAGACTTTTGGACCACCCTGTACTTGAAAGAACACAAAGGTAGATAGATTTAAAACTAGAATGCTTATTTTATTGCAGGAATTCTCACTCTTTTTCCTAGCTATGATGGGTCACAATAGCAACAATCCAGTGCCTCAGACAGAAAGCACCATGTCTCAGTGTCTCTATTAATTTTGAAATTAGTTACATACAAGGAATTCTGTGTGATCCCATGTTACTGATCCTGAACCAGTATAGAACGAAAGAATGAATTCTAAAAACATTTTCAAACTGCAGTTCAAATGAAGAATCTATGGTCCCTCCATGGTTAGGATTGACTTCACCCAGTCTCTTGAGTTTCTAGTCATATTCATTTTAAATCATTCAGCTTCACTTGTGGAAGGATTTTCTTTCTCTCTTCACTGGTTTGCTGAATGACTCAAAAACTGTCAGTAACTGTTGTCAGAAAAGGCCCTGCTACCCACCACAAGAATCAGCTGAGCATAGAAGTTCCAATTCAGAATGCCTGCTCTACTGGTATTCAACCTGCACAACTGCAGCTTCTTAGTGCCTATCTTCTAGCTCTTCAAACTCTGATATATTAATGGTGAAAGAGGAAATATTTTCAAGAAGAAGAACCTCACTCTTAATGCGCCTTGACACAATTTCAACTGCTTGCTGAGCAGATCGTGTTGCAAACCAATTGTCACCAAGAAGCACCAATATTTCATTGGTATGGATCAGCCGACCAGGCATGAAAGCCTTCTTTCCCAATGGAACCATGACTTCATGATGAACTTTCTGTGGCAATTTCTCAAGTAAAGATTTCAGTGTCTCATAGTCTTGCTTTGATTTCCTCCAATCACTCAATTGCTGTTCACAAAGTATCAATCCCTGTCAAGACAGAGTAGTGAATGATAACCATCAATACAAAATGTAATTGTAGAGTTCTGAAAGTAAAAGGCAGAATGCATACAATCAATTGAATAAATTGCACTAAAAAATGAGAAATGAGCATCAATCCAGAAAGTTAATTTTACTTTTTTACTTCTTTTTATTTTTTTAAATCAAGACAGTTATAGTTTCATTCATATTAGGACACTGACCAGCTGTACCAGCTAGCCATTGACATAACATACTATGATCTTATAAAATTAGCCTGGAACTCTTTCAAACAATATAAAATCAGCTCTTTAAACTTGAATCTCTAGTAGATGAACAGCAGTTGCCAAGAATTGCTTTCATCACTTTTACATCTCTGGCATTGGAGGAACACCTTAAGAGTATTGTCAATGATTTTAAAAAGGGCAAATATATAATTTTGAAGATGAATTTTGAATATGGGCATAAGAATTAGCCTTTTTTTATTGCTGCAGAATAAGATTTGAGGAATGCTTGATTTTGCACCATGAGGCAGAAAGCTCAGCTCTTGCAGAAAGGTGTTCAATTCTTCAATTACCTTTCTTCAGTCAGGAAAAATAAAAAATTCACAATGTTCTAGAAATGTCAGAAATTACATATCTACACTTTTGTTAGGTCATTGACATGAAGAATACAGGGTGCTCCTTTCACAGATAGTCCTCTGATCTTTATAGTGTCATTGACACTGTTTTCCTTTCCTTTTCAAGTAATCAGATTTGAGCAGAATGGCTGTGTATTTTACAGGCAAGCAAAGAAGGAAGATTGTCAAATGGATTATTGTTTCTTTGGCATCTAAATTGAGCCATATTTAAAAAAAAAAAACTTCTGATATAGTTCATAAATACCTTTCTACTGGTATGATGTCTACTGGAGATGTTCCTGAAAAAGGCATTAGACCATAGCAGTAGAACCATGCACCTCCATCCAAACTACAATCTTCCTTGTTGGCTCATCCATCAAATACTGAACTATTCTGCTTGAATATGATCACATGGAGAGGGAAGGAAAGTAGCATGAAGGGAAATACCCTAGGGAGATCAGTATGGTATCTATAAGAGGAATACCCAGTTTTCACCCTAAGAATGAAACCTGATAATAATTTCTTTTTAATTTTTCTCTTTTCCTGCTTGAATGCATTACCTTTATTACTATTGTATACCTTCAAAGAATATACAATGGAAGAATTTTGTCACTTTCCAATATACAGGGTGTCTCAAAAAAAGTTAATGCTGTAATAATGACTTTCTGGTATTATATTGAACTTGATTTTTGAAATGTTGCATTAGGTAGAAGGAGAAGAGATTAAGCTTGCAGCTGCTGAAAACGACATGAAAATTGACACTTTCTGAAGTGAGATATGGAACAGTGACAATTAGACTTTAAAAAAATACACACCATTATTAAAGAACACATTCAAGGCGTGCTCCTCCTCAACACCAACACACCATCAGACACTTAGCGAGGTTTTCTACTGCTGACTGACTTGTTCCTGCTCTAGTTTTAGAGACTGAGAGAGATGGGTCACCAAGAAGATCAAAGAAACCTGTGGCATTTTTGCTCACAAATGCCCAAGAACCAACAACAGAATGAAGAGTCTCCTGGCAGTACACTTGTGACTCACTAGCTTCTTTGAGTGCTTCCCTTGCCAGATCCCCTTGTTTAGGCTGTGTGCAGTGGTTCATCAGCATGTCTGAATTTTCCTAAGGTAAACTTTATCTTTCCATATCTCACTTTTGAGTTCATTGATCTTCATACAATCTCCAGCATCGGAAAGCTTAATCTCCTCCCATGTTAACTGGTACAATAATTTCCATTCAATTGTAATATAACACAAAAATCAATTCTTGCAGCGTAGACTTTTTTTTGCGGCACCCTGTAATTGAAATACGGCCCACTCATCCTGCAATAAATTCCCAAATGTCTTGGCCCTCTAGGAAATTACTAGTCTCACAGATTCCATAGGTACTTTATAAGTGGCTCCTTGCACATAAAGCCTGTTGAAACTCTATGTCAATACAAGAAGAAACAGCACTTCTAACAATGCCATTATGGAAGTATTTCAGACATACACTACTAGCAAATAAGTCAGCTTGTCAGCTTCATTTGGGTAACTATACCAATAGTTAGTCATTTATTATGTAGACACTTTCAATCATTCATGGCCTTACCTTCTCTTGCTCCAGCAGCAACATTCCAAGGGTATCCATACTTAGGCTTTGTGCTCCATCAACAGCCTTCTTTTCCGTCATTTTTGAAATGAAGTTCAGGTCTAACTATCAAAACACCATACACCATAAAAATAATTGCTGCTAAATAAAAAATATTGTCAATGGAGAAAATTCCAGTGAGACAGTTGGGCAATAACACCCACAATCTTATCACTGCTCTATTTTACATATTATAAACTTCTACATTTAAATTTTTGGGACATCATGATAGGATCCATCATTTAAGCCCATAATTGACCAAATAACTGCACATGAAGCACTATTATGGTTAGAAATATCCAATGGAACAGATAAAACGTCAAGTATGAAGAAGTCTACATAATCTGAGCACAAAACATTGCATCTAAGTCAAAACACCAATAATTCATCCCACTGATATGCCCAGTCTTTGTTATCATGATTAATTTAGGCCAATTTACTTTCAATATTCTTTTCATTTTCACTGTTTTAATGCGAAAGAATTATAGGCCTACTTTTAATTCACATTTGTTTGCTGGATGGGTAAAGATCACAAGCTCTTCAAAAGTGAGAAAAGATAAGAAATTGTTCAGATCCTTCAATATATACATGACAAAAATTTATACAGAGAACCTCCAAGTCCATGAAACTTAAATAGTCAACAGTTGTGTCCATGATATTTTATCTGCAGCAAAAGAGGCAGCCCCATGCTCCCTCTTTCTGTCTCATTCAGAGCTGCTGCTTTACCAGTATTCCTAAAATTTTCCTTGTTCAGTGGCAATACCAATAAAATGGGTTGCAAAATGGTGATGGGCAAATCTGAAAAAACAGTCATGATTTGTTGCACTTTGACCATTATATAAAGATACTGGGGAAGTCCATCTTAAGGCATATGGTTCAAAATGTAAGTCTCATGATATTCATTGCTTGTTGGTTGTACTGCCAGAAGGGAAAATCATCTTCCAGTTAATTTATTAGCTGGTAATTTATTAAAATTAATAAAAATAAAATTTGTTAACAGAGAACCAATAAGGAGCTCAGCAAAGTCCAGGAAAAAATTCCCTAAAAATTAGATTTTTGTAAAGAGACTTTCAATAAGGAACTAACGTTTTGGCTTGTATTGATGCTTTCAGTCACACATGCTCCACAACAAAGGACATCCATCTAGACCTCAAGAGTGAGGCAGGAAGTAACTAGACATCACAAAATGGGGATACACTGGGACACGCAGGAAATTGCTGTAAGTTAAGGGGAATGCAACATGGGAGGGGACTGTAGGGGGAGGGAGAGAATGGAATAAAGACAGAGTAATGCATCATTCTTTCTTTCACTTTTTTTCCACCTCTACTGCCATAATCAGAAGTTCCCTTTCCCATGCCCAGGACATACCTGCATTTATTTCATTGAGAGATTGGAAAGGGGTACTTATTACAGCACACAATCAAAATAGAGGCTTTAGTAACCAGTTCTGCGAGCTTGGTTGGTTACTTGTGTAACTGCTGGAATATCTATGTGCTAACCTTTTCCAATCAATGATCCTCATTCAGGATGCTCTTCCACTCTCACCAATTTCCTTGAACATTAGTTCCACCATTATTGATGGTCCTGGGTATTTAAGAGAAGACATGAGCAAAACTCCATACAAAAGGAAACTACTTATATATTTCCAATTTCACATGTGAACATCACAGGCATGTCATAGCTGCTCAAAAACAGAGCGATTGCCAATAATGTCTTGCCCAACCAAGATTGAGGGAATCCAGAACAAGGAAATCAGCCATACTTTTAGGTTGTCACAGACCGCATGATCCAGGACATCACAATGTTTTAATAGAAGAGAAGAAAGCAGATAATTTTATAGGAGAAGGAAGCAATATGTGCAGGCTTGAAAGATACCAGAATTAAAATAAAAATAACTTTTGAAACACTTTCAGGGAAAAAATAATGAGTAGGCCAACAGAAAGTTCAGCAATTAGGGTCATGACACAAGTAAGTTTCTGGGGGCTCAGTCACATAAACATATACCAGTCCTCTCAATACTTGCAGCTCTATATACAAAATTACACATAGGTAACTTGAAATTGGGCTCAAAGTACATAAAGTGTGCAACCTTAACTCTCATGGGAACAGTGCCATTCAACCACCAGGAGAGGGTGCAATAATAAAAAAAGTATTTCTCATGTCTTTTCATCAATGCAACAAAATGGTTAAGATGCTAACAGGTTCAACAGGAGAATACTATACAGTAGAATCACCAAAAATTTTTTAGAGGAGAATACTCTTACAAAGCAGTCACTCATAAAAAGAAACAACATACAAGGATAACAATCTTTTATGATAACCATGAAAAACTGAGTGAACAACTGCAACAGAGAAATGGTAAAAGTATTTGCTTATCATCACAGAAGTAAAAAACAAAGAAGTGCCAAAATCTCCAGTGCAGTGTGACAGACTAATAATACTAGAAGTTGATTGAGCCCTAGCTCTAGAACGTGATCAATTCAATGATGGACCCTTAGGCACTTTTGGACATTTTTGCAGCCTGATGTTAGAATGAGACATTAAGATTGCATGAAATTTAATGCTTTTACAAAGCCTTATGACCATTCTAAATAAAAAAAATACTTTAACAATTATCTTATAACTTCCTTCTAGTTAAAAGAGAGAGGAGAACCAAACAGCAAATAATCAATTTTCTGAGCTTTTTATCTTGCAGGGAATTTTCCCATCAAAATAGGTTCTCAAAGCTGAACCATGCTCATTTAGATCTCTCAAGAAGAAAATATCAAGAAGTCCAACTAATATCTGCAAGTCTGAGATACAGATGTAGTTGGTGCTATAACACACCCTGAATAACTAGCACATTTCTCCATCCAGAGTCATCAGACATTATCAAGCACAGTGAATTTTAGACGTTTCAAAGTTTATAAATACTGGTATGCAATGTCTTTCACAGGAATTAACAAATTCACTTTCACTCCTTTGTATTTTCCCAGAAAGAAGAAGGAAAATTCACAAGCAACACACAAATATTGTCTGTAGAACCCTTGTCAAAGGCATGTTCAGCAAGGATTTGGCTTCTACTGCCAGGATTTGCTTTGGATGCAATTCTACAAGCCTCATCTGAAGTAACTGTATCCCAGAGACCATCAGAGGCCAAGATGAACAATGGAGGTTCCCAGTCTTTTAGATCAAAGGTTAAAATGTCAGGTTCAGCTATGACAACACCTTTGGTTTTTAGAGGGAAGTCACCCAAAGCCCTGGATGTAGCTAGAACACCTTGAACCCTCCAAACTCCATTGAAGGAGATGAAACCACCGACTTCCTCGATGCGCCTTTTCTCTTTCTCTTGATGAGGCTTATGATCATAAGATAGTGGGACGGCACTGCCTTTGGAATCACACATGACTCCTCTTGAGTCACCCACATTGGCAACAACAAGATGTCTTCCTTTCCATGACACAGCCACAAGAGCTGTTGAACCAGAAAAGGAACTCACTGCCTTTCCTCGTTTTATCACATCAGAATCAACATCCAATATTTCTTGCTTCAAAAGTTTTGAGACTGATGACAGTACCTCTGACTTCTGACCACCTTCATTCACATCCGACAAACGTGCCTGAAGGCGCTTAACAAGTGTGGAGTGCACAAGATCCACAGCAAAATTTCCACCATGTCCATCAAATACAGCATACAAGGAGAAAGCAGTTCCAGGAATATTGTTGACAACTGTGAATCTGTCCTCCATGGTGAGTCGCCTTCCTTTTCGGGCAGTTACTTCTACATTCCCATCTCGATATTCCACATTCTCATGCCCAACATTGGAGAAAACAGCAGGCTCTCCCACATGATTGTTAACGCCCTTGAAGAACTGCTGCGCTGTTTTCAAGGATGGAGGGGAAAGAAAGACTCCAAAATTGACGGCTGCACTGAAATTGAATCGACGAAGAATCGGGGATGTCCAGAGGTCTGTAATGTGGAGGAGTATCACCACAAACAGAAGTGCAACTGAGACTAAAATCACTTCTTGTTTACAGGCCAGTAACCGCAGGTAATGAAGGAAATATGACACAAGCGGGAAACGGACACCAAAATCACCAAAAAACTTGGAAAATATCCTCATGTGAGCAATGAAAATTTCGGCGACTATTTTATCTTCAAATTCATCTTCCATTCTGAAGTAGGGCTCCTTATCAGCTCATGCCGGCTGACATATTTCAAATCACTGGTGAACATGGCCGTCTCCATAGTACATGCAAGCAATGTTGCCAAAGGTTGGCAACTCAAGGCAGATCTGTTTGGCTTAATCGCCAACTCAATGTGCCTAACCCTACGATAATTTTGGAATAACAATGTTAGCCAAAGATGACATGTCGCTCTCAAATAAAAAATGTCGAACTCAACTAAAGAACATAAAACCTAGGCCTACTGTTAAGTTTCTAGTGGGATCAACTAAAGGGACTTAGACCTCGATTTAGACTCAGTAATGGTAAAACATCAAAGCACGATGCCAAAGAAGGGATGTATTTCCGAAGCAACTTTAATTAATGGAATTACGCAGAATTTCAGCAGGATTGATGAGACTTATAGATTATGGTTGCATTGTGGTGCTGGAAGCAGTAATTGCCAGAATAAGTTTAACCAATTATGTTATTGCGCTTTATTCACGTAAGTCAAGCAGTTTTTCACTTGACTTGGGCACTTGTGCATGGGATGTTCCTCATGTGCAAGTGTCTGAAACAGTGAAAAACACTAATGATGTTTGCACCTCATCACTTGACTCTGACATGCATGGACAGGAAAAGCCATAGACAGGTTTTGGTTTCAACTATAACGGTGTTATGCTCAAATACATGCAGTCCAGATTTTTAAAAGTTCTGCTAAGTTTATTCATTATGTTTCAGTAATGCATGCACTATTTGTGTCAGTTCTCTTTTTTCACTATAAGACCAACTTACGAAATAAATCTAGTTGCCTGCAATGATCATTCCTACATGAAAAAGCCTACTGTTCTGATTAGTTTGCTAGAAGAGCATGCAACATTTTTCTTCAGTCTCCATCATGTCAAGTGTATAATAGTTTTCAAGTCAAGTCCAATGTCTATTTACTGATACGAGAGATTTCACTGTTAGTAGTATATAGTGCAGATTTGTGTTGTCCTTTTTAATCTGAGATATTTATAGTCTGGCTTATTGATAAAGGCTTAAAGTCATATATATTCACATACCTATGCTATTGGTCCCAGCCCATGATGAGGTTTTGGTTTAAAATCTTAAAATCTTTGATCAAAATTTTTTTTCAGTTGATATATAAACAGTCTGATAATATTGCTATATGGCATGAACTGAAGGCATTTACCTGAGGCATCCAAGTGGGCCCCATGATGGAGTTGGCTGATGAATACAAAGGTGAAGATGAGGAAGCTGGTGCCTCTCCTGGTCCTGTGGAGAGATTGCCAACTGAGATTTTAGAATATATACTTTCCCTTTTACCACCTTACATTGATCTCCAAGTTTGTAAGAAAGTTTGCCATCGATGGAGGGACTGTGCACTTGGTGAGTTGAAGTGCTTGTCTTCAAAGAGTGAAGCTTTCTGCTCAATGTGCATCCTATTGCTAATATCATGGACCTTCTAGGTGTTGAGTCAACCAGAAAGAAGGAGTTTCCTGATGCTCTGACTGAAGGAAGAGTACAGTGGACTCACTCTGATTCCTGTGTTCAGCTCCAAGCAATATCTAAAAGATATGGGCATGCAGCTTGTGTTTCTGGTGAGAAAGTTGTGTAGAATTAAAATATCTTCAAGAAAGGCTGAATTGGTGAATATATTGGCAAATAGTAATAAAGGGACTACAGATTTTGCTGTCTGTCCTCCCTTAGATCATTGAGGATTTTTTTTTTTACCAAAGCCTAGTTTTTAATCTTGAATCTCTGGTCATATTGAAGGAGTTATGTGTACTTTATACTATTGGAGAAAACGAGTTTTTATTTAGAAATATGAGGGAAGACTTGAGGGAAGGACACACTTGAATTGTACCTCTTTGCTTTGTAATAGGTTTTTTTTTGTTGGTGTTTCTTTTTTAAAAGTAACACACTGGGAAGCACAAATTTCCTGTTATGAAAGGCAGAGGGTCAAAATTTGAGTAATACAAAGTTGGAAGACTTGACAGCAGTTATAAGGTTTTTTCCAAAGGAATTCTGAACAACTTCTCAGAAGTCTCACCTACTTGGCCCTTTAGGGTGGGTGTGGGTTTATGAAGCTCTGCAGAGTCTTTGAAATCTGTCTCAGATTCTCTGAAACTTCATGAATGTCCTGATGTTCAAGATTTTCAGACATTTGGATTTTTAGATCCCTTGTCTCTATGTGATTGACAACCCTTTTTTAATTGGAACTATTTATGTAGCTCATAAGTAGGTCTCCACATTCTTCCCAAAATTATTAAATATACATATTCAGTGCAGGTGAATTCACAGTGGGTAAGGAGAATTTGATTAAATATAACTTTATTGTAAAAATTAAATGCAACTTTGAAGGGCAGTGGCATTTTGGGACTGATGGGCCAGCAGCTCTGCCTCCACCCCAGATTGGCAGATGGTAACTGAAGCAAGATTATACCGGGTGTTGCACATAGATAGCTCCCCCCCCCTCCACAGCCTAAAGTATAAGAGCTAGGAAAAAAAACTCATGTATCATGAGAAAGAGCATTCATTTTCAAATCTAAACATGTACTTATCATAATTTTTATGCACCCTGGCTCTGTCTCTGAGAGCTTTAATACAAGCAGGGTAAGATGAAAAGAGGCGCTTAAAGAGTTCAGTGTCATCTTCCCTGTCCTTCAATACCCTGGTGATGTTGCTTTGCCAGGCTTCCCAGGAGAATCCATGCTGCTTGCCCTCCATGTGCATGAGCCCCAACTCAGTCTTTCAGGAGAACCCCAATGTTCTCAACCATATTCAGATCAGGAGAGTTTTCCTGGCCATTTCACTTTTCCAAAAAAAAAGCTATCCCTGAGTCTTTCAGCAATTGCTGTGTGATCAAAGCTTTGAAAAATAGGGCTATATCAGACAGAAGCTGAACGTTTAATCTTTTTTGAAACCTATGAATGGGTAATGAATTCAGCTCTGGCATCATGAGCTCGAAGTGCAATAGCACGGGTGTGATCATTGAATTTTAGTTTTTCACCATCATATGACAACAGGGAAAAACAAAATTGGATGGATTAGATTCAAAATTGAACAAGGATTCCAAATATATTTTAAATGTTTTCCTAGCTTCTATAGTTCAGGCTGTGGAGGGGGGCTATCTATGTGCAACACCCAGTACAGGGTGTGGCAAAAGTCAGGTACCTTACGTGTGTACAGCAAATTATAACAGATGCTTGAATTGTGCACCATTTACATGGACACACAACTCAGTCTATTTCACATGGGAAGCTTGAACATTGCTCAACATGTCCACATTGACCTTAGCTCACTCAGCTCATATTTTCACCTCCAGTTCCTCAATGCATCTGTGATGGTCAGTGTATACAACTGACTTCAGATGCCCCCACGGAAAAAAGTCAAGAGGCACAAGGTCCTGTGACCTTGGTGACTATTCAATAAGACCTTGAAATCCAATCAACTTGTGTGGGAATGTCCCATTTAGAAATTCATGAATGGGGATCTCAAAGTGTGGCTGGACCTCATCTTGTTGGAACCACAATTTAGCCAATTGAGCTAATGGAAGATCATCAAGACTCAGCATTAGGAATAATTTCAGCATCTCCAGGTAGGTTTCACCTGTCATATAACTTTTGAAGAAGTAGGGACCAATCAGTCATTCTCCCTATATTGCTGCCCACATCATGATACTTGGATCATTTTGCACGTGTGACTCATTCACCCAGTGTGCAATTTTGTCTGCCCAGTAATGTGCATTTGTGTTTAATATTTAACTTCACATGCATTTCATGTGCAGTCAGCACGAGGTTGAAATTATTCTAGTGCCCAACTTTTGCCACACCCTGTATAATTATATAGTGCAGTTGCCTATTAATACATTTAGGTACAAAATGTCTAACTGTAAGTAGAATGTCATTGCCTTCATCAAGCATTAGTAAGGTATGCCTGCTAGAACACATCACTACTGGACCCTCTGGCAGTTTTATAGAGCCTGTTATTGTAGAATATAACATGTTAGTATCAATAATAATTTTGGGGTTTTTTGGACTTAAAATTGTATCCATATACATAATATTTAACTTCATAAGACCATCAAGAAGAGGATGGTTTTTAGGGCTGTGTTGTGCATTCAGCATTTATATTCAGGTGAAGCTAAAAGAAGCTTATTTAAAAATAAGTTTTTTTTTAACCTTTTCATGCATGGTGTCCACTATAGTGGATGGCAAAATTGCTGGCGATGATGATGGTTTTTTAGCCATGATACACATGCCCTGAAACTTTTGGTACATGCAGTCAACTCTAATGCATATAATCTCCTTGTGTTGCTTTCTAGAGGTGAAACATGCAACTGCTATGAGTACCTCCTTAAATGTTAAACCAGAAAATTGATATTTTTCTTTTGCTCGAAAAATTCATAGGTGAAAGGGTTAAACTAGATTGTTGAGTTGTCAATTGGCAACACTATGCATCATTTTATGATCTGTGCATAATTTCTGAATCACTATTCTCATTTCTGGCTTATTTAAAAGTCATGTAAATGGTGAGATGCAGATTTGCAATGCAATGAGCAGGTCTAGAACATAATATTTGAAAATTTTTGTGTATTTAAATCTGTATTCTATTCATCTGACTTGGAACCCAATATAGGACAGAAGTGCCCCACATGACTTGCTGGTATATTATGAAAAATATGGCCCCTGTTACTTTTGCACATGACTTTCTTCTGAGAGTCTGTTCATCAACAATTCAGTTATCCCTCCTTTGGTGTTGTTCTCCAGGTGGATACCTATATGTCTTTGGGGGACTAACAGTGGCCAACACCTCCTTCAATGATTTGTGGTGTTTGAACTTGAATAGCCGCCAGTGGACAAGATTGATTGTAACAGGATCGTATCCTTCTCCAAAGGGTCTCACCACTTTCCTACCATTTAAAGATACCATTGTTCTTTTTGGAGGATTCACTGATGTAAGGATAGTCAGTTTCTTATCCAGTCATCCTCTTTTTATGTAGAGAACAGAAATTTTCTCAGCATCTGCATCCATGTTGATCTTTTACTAGCCAATGAGGATGTTCACAGAACTTCACTTCTACCATGTCAAGAATAATCATTGGATCACAAGTGGTCTGGGATCTGGCACTGGTGCTCAACGCTTTCCTCCTGCCATGGCTGGTCATTCAGCAACAATACATGGAAACCTTATGATTGTCTTTGGTGGCTGCCACCTTCACCCTGCTCATCCTCTGCAGTTCATATCAAATGATGTATATTCACTGGATCTTGGGTGCCTTACTTGGTATCGACCTAGTGTGGGACAAGCAAAGCCATCACCCCGATACTTGCAGACTCAAGTGAAGCTAGATGACCATCATTTGCTTGTCATAGGTAAATATGGTGGTTATTCCTCCTGCTTGCAGCCCTGCTTTAGTAGAGAATGCTCATATGAAATCTACTGTAACTAGGTGGGCTGTACTACAAGGTGGAAATATGGTATGATGTTCCATTCCGCACTTATTCAGACGTTTGGATGTTGTATGTGGATCCAGAATCCCCTGATGGACCATGGGTATGGAAAGAAATGACAGTTATTGATAAACAGTATGCTGCTACAACTCTCTGGTGTCATCCAGGGTGTCTGGTAAGTATATAATGGTCTCATGATATCATATTCTCCTCTCTTTCATAAATCCAATCCTCCCTCCCATGCTTCCTGATTCAGCTGGTCTCCCCTTTTCATCTTTATTTTTTTGTCTTATCTCAGGATTGTGAATCAAAAGGCCATTAACCCTTTCACCTCTGAGTTATATTCAGGACCACAGCTGAAAGCGATGATGGAAAATGAATATATTCAGGAGCCACAGTGAAAGGGTTAAAATGTCTCTTTCCTAGCTGATATGAGAAAAGTGGATTTCATGTTGGTTAATTCAGATGCCCTGCTGTTTTCCAAATACTATGGTATGCTAGAAGGCAGAAACTTTTTATAAGGATGGAAGAATCACATAAAGACATGATGCAATCAAAAATATGTTATGTTGTGCTCTACTTGACAAGCAATTCTTACTGGAATATCATATGATGCCCATATGATGAGATGTGTTTGTATTATATCAAATTTAATTCCTTAATAATCAGAGATAATGCTCTCTACCTTCATATCTTTAATTTCAAAGGCTTTCATCCTCTTGGGGAAATTAGGATAAAACTTTTGCTGATGCTCTTATCTTGATTCTGTGGAAAAATGAAACTTTTAATTTGGTGAATGAAAATTTTAAAAGTGATAAGAGCATAAGTGATAAGCATTGGTAATCATGAGAGTTTACATGGTAACAGACAACCTTTTCTTTGTGGTAATTATCTTCCTCTTTTAATTATATTAAGAAATAGGGGATGGTGGGGCACCATGGGTCACTTTTTTTGTGGCCCTGTAACTTAGGCATTTTATTCCTTTGAAGCAATGGACTCAAAGTGCCTGCACAATCCAGTGTTTTAAATTTGTCGACTTACAAGTGTCGTGCGATAGTCATATTTTAAAATGGGGCACCATGGGTCAGTGTCCAGGGTATGATGGGTCATCCTCATGATCATCGTTAAAATGAACTTCAGTTGACCCAAAGTCATCACACAGGAGGAGAAGCTCTTGAATACTGATGCACTCCACCTAAGTCATCTAGGAAAATAATATATAGTTCATTTCATGTCCAAGAATATCACATCTGCTGGTGTTGAACCCTACAGAGTCTTCCGCTCCTATTTGTGCTTCATTAGATAGGAAAAAAACTGCAAAGGAAATCCTGATCGGTATTGGCAACTATCAGAAAACATGGAGCACTGAGTTATGACCCATTGTGCCAAAATAGTGACCTATCATGCCCCAAATACAATGACCCATCATCCCCCAACAGGAGCCATTGAAATGAAATCAATATTTCAACCAGAGTAATTTGAGATTGTAGCTCATACACAGGCATTGAACTACCAATCTGAATCCAATTCCAGTAAGAATCAAGATTACCCATCAAATGAAATAATTAGCAAAAATCGAGACATCACTGCCAAAAAAAATGAAAAAAGTGTATTCTACAGAAAAATGTCCACACAATTTGCACTTTGAGTGGGGACTACTCTTTTTTCAAATACACTTTCCTGGCACCTCAGCTGGAAGATACAGGGTGACAAATAATGGACGCTCCCATAAGAATCACTAATATCTTTGTTGAATATGGGTGTATGAACTTCAAATTTTTTAGGGATACTCCGTAAATGCAGGAAAATTTTTAGCGCCAGCATACAGTATTAG